CCCTCTGGTGCCGAGTGCTGGGCGGGTGGGCTTGTGTGCATTCTAGGGCCCGGGGGGTCTCTCCAGCGGACTCTCCTGCGAGGCCGGGAGTCCCTCCCGCTGCTGCCTCCCCCACAGATTTTTATAGGCGGAGGCTTTGAGGCTTCCTTTTCCTGCGCTGAGCCCCGGGTTGCGTGGTCTGCCCTGCTCCCCAGCTCGTCCTCCCGGTTTACCCCACACAGGTGCGGGGCCGCTCGGGGCGCCGCCTCGCTGCGCACCCCCTCCAGCCCGGCTGCCCCTCTCCGCCCCTCCTGCCTGTCTGGATGAGTGTTTCTTCTTCCGCTCCTTGGTGTCCAACTTCCATACGGGTCAATTTTCTGGCAGTTCTGGTGATGTTTTGTTTTTAAATTTGTTGTCCTTTTGGTTGTGTCAGGAGGCAAAGTATATCTACCTGTGCCTCAATCTTGGCCGGAAGTCCCTATTTATTTTTTATTTTTAGAGAGAGAGTAAGGGAGAGAGAAAGAGAGAAACGTCGATGTGTAAGAGATACAGCCATCGGTTGCCTCTGCCCCCAACCAGGGGTCCAGGTTGCCACGCAGGCCTGTGCCCTGTCTGGGAATTGAACCAGCGACCATTCAGTTTCCAAGCTGGCGCTCACCCCGTTGAGCCACACCAGCCGGGGCTGATGCTGATTTTTACTGCTTTTGAAATCTGGATACATAAGTGTCCAAGGTCGGCCGTCCCTGTTCAGACTGGCCCGGGAGTCGCGCGGGGCTCGCCCTCAGAGCCGGCCGCCATGGCCGGTGGCCTTGTTGCCCCTGAGGACGGCCACGCCAGCCCAGAGCCGGTGCCTGTGTGGCCAACACTTTCAAAACCAGGGGCTCAATAGCAGACCTGATGCACCTATAACGTAGCCAAGTAATGCCAGGAAATACTGGTTTCTTTAAAAACTGAATTGAGAATGGTCAGATACAGGTAAAAACAATAGTACATAATGGCCCAGCTCCAATATTTACATAATTTTGCCACTTTGGTTAAATCTACTTCATTCTTTCTTCCTTTTTATCTTGGAGTGTCTTAAAGCAAATCACCAAATCTTACTTCAGTCGTAAGTAAGAAGCATTTCTAACTAAACAAAAGAACAGCCGCTCCGTCCTGCCACCAAACCCCCAGACCACATGCAGAGTTTCCTGCTTTTCTCTAAAAAGTCTGTCCTGGTGGATTTTGAGGCGAGAGCCTAAGTCTCTAACGCCGTTCCAGCTGCGTCGGTGGGACGTCGGGACGTGCATCGGGGCCCCTGAGCCGCCCGGGTCCTTCTCTGGTTCCTTTCCAAGCAAGTTTCAGGCCTGTTGTTTTATTTTCTTATTATTTTTTAATCCTCTCTGGAGGATTTTTAAAAATTTCACTTGAGAGAGAGGAAGAACGAGAAACATCAGTGTGAGAGACATTGATGGATTGTCTGCTGCGCGTGTCGGACCGGGGACCGGCCCACGGCCTGGTGCTGTTCGGGCGGCGCCGCGCCAGGCGCAGGCTACGGGCCTCCGAGCACCGGCCCTCCTTGGAGGAGCAGCACGCCTCTCGGCCCGCGGTCCCGTGTGGCCTCCTGTGCTGCGGGAGCCGTGCGACGGGGGGCTGCCCTCGGCCGCTGGGTTTGCACTCTGTCATTTTGGGAGGTTTACTTGGATTTGGAAATGACAGAAAAGCACAAAAGCTGACACTGGTTTCAGTTCCTCTGGTGCTTGTATCAAAATGCAGCTTTGCGCTGGTGCGAGGCCTCGAACGCCTGCCTGCCTGACGCTGGGGGCGCCGGGGCCGGCTCTGACCTCGGGAGCTTCGGAGGCGACCGCCGCAAACCCGGCGCCGCGGCCAGGCTGTGGGCGCCGCCCTCCTGAGACCGGCGCCATGCGCGTGCCTGCGGCTGCCTGTGGGGAGGTGCACGCCACCATCTAGTCACGGAAGGGCTGTCGGGACGCTGTCCAGCTGCCTGAGCCAGCCCCCAACGCGGCCTGTGAGGGACAGAGCCGCTCTGACGGGGCAGTAAACGCCGGAGCGGAGGTGGGTCGGTGACGGTCCTGTTCCCCGTAGGTGGCAGAGTCAGGCCTTGTGGTTACTTTCCGACACGTTAACATACTTGCAGCGTGGGAGTGAGGGTGTCACGCGTGGGGGCGCCGTGCCGCCCCAGGCTGCAGGGCCTTGATGAGATGAGCGGGCGACGAGAGCCGCTCCGGCCGCGGCTGCGCGACCTTGGAGTGAGGGCCCCGCGGAGCGGCCTGGGGCGGCGCCGCACGTGCTGTGACCGGGAGGCAGGTCGCTTCGCCTGTGTGCTTTTCAGGGTCTTTGGTTTCTGCGCAGGGTGTTTCCCCAGCGGAAGTTGTAAACCCAGGCCGGGCCGGGGCGGGTCACAGGGGACAGGCGGGCACCTCTCAGCGCCCGTCTGAGCGGATTAGACGGTCAGTGCGCTGAGTCAGGCCGGCGGGGCTTAGCAGAGGCTTTGACCCAGGAGGGAGGAGGCGCCCCGGCCATGCGGGCCTGGTGGTGGGGCTGCCCGAGGCTTTGGGGGACCGAGGGCAGCGGAGAGAAGAGCGGGCGCAAGTAAATGTAAGTCAGACCTTGGAACGTGCGTCCGGCGCTGGGAAACCACGGGAAGATAGGACCAGTAATTCTAAGGAAAAGGGTGTGTTTTTAAACGTTGTAGGAGAAAGTGTATTTTATTCTCTTAAAATAGCTACAGGTACCACCAGTTTGTTTGCATTTCATGTGTGAGAAGCGGCACCCACATCTGTCGCCCGTGTTCGTGTTGTTTTCGGCGACCTGGTGAAGGTTCACGGCGACCGGCCTCTCCTCACTGAGCGGAGTGGAGAGGACGTGAAGGCTTCCGGTCCGGGGCCCAGACGCGCCGTTCACTTCTTGGAAGAAGAAGCAGGAGACGTGGGAGATGCCGTGGCACTGGATGCTGCCCGTGGGCGCTGCGCGTCTCCCGGGATGACCGCTCGTGGCGTGTTCCCGTGTCCGTGGACGGGAAGACGCTCACATGAGCACAGCTGTGTCCTCGCTGTGGACCCGGAAAGAGAGCCGGCGCCCTTGTCACGCTGCTCTGCGCCCGGTTTCCGCTGAGTCTTCCCAGGGGAGGGCCGGGGGAGGCGTCGGCGGCGCCGGTGAGGGGCGGGGATGCCCGGGGTCCTGTGCGTGTCCCCTGGGGCCGGGCTGCCCCGTAGGTGTGCGTGCGCGGCAGGGTGTCCCGGGCCGTGCCCTCGGGCGAGCGGGCCGTGCGCTGGCGGCCTGTGTCCCTTACTAGGGGCCGTCCACCGGCACGAAACTGTTTTCCAGATGTGGTTTTAGGAAACGCACCTTTGACAGGGAGAACAAAGGCTGCCCCTTAGAGTTTTAGAAGGTCTGACTGTGGACCTCTCTCCTCCCCAGGCTGCCCGTGTAGACTGGGCGGGGCCTTCCGGCCCGGCTGTCATGCAAGTGGGACCCGGAGCGCCTCTTCCCTCATAGTTGGCAGGCGTGGGGTCGGAGCTCTTAGCTGAGCCCCCGTGAGGGGCTGAGATCGAGAGGCAGGGTCCGCCGCCCACTCCCTGGCCCAGGGCCGCGCAGCCGGCCTGCTCTGTCCGGGCAGCTCGTCCCGGCACCGTGGCTCCCAAACCACCGCGAGGCCCGTGCGCAAGGTGCGTAGGTTCAGTGCATTCGTTTTGCCGGCTCCGGCTCCGGCTCGGTGGCCAGAGGCTGCCCTGGTCAGCCTCCTGCGGCGTGTGAGAAAGGCCTTCTAACGCCAGGAGGCGCGTCCGCACAGACCCCGGTCGTCGCCCCGCCTGAGGGTGGGCACCGGGCCTTTGCCTGAGGACTCCAGCGTCTCCGAAAGCCTTTCCTTTTACTCGGCTCCTACGGCGTCTGTTGTGTTCAGGCCTTCACTTAGAAACTGCCTCGCCGCCAGTGTCCCGTGAGGGTCAGAAGCTGTGCTGCTGGCTCTGGCCGACAGCGGGAGCGAGGCCTTGCGCCGACTCTGGGAGGCTGAGTGCGGAGGCCTGGTCACGGGGGGGCGGGGGGGGGGCCGGGGGCAGGCAGGGCGCCCCGCCTGCAGAGCTGTCTGTGCAGAGCTGGGCCCCTGTCCGGTGTGTGCTCGGTCTGTGCTCGCTGGGAGGTGCTGTGCGGCGGGGGGCGCAGGTGGTCCCTGAGCCCGACAGGACACCTCAGTCTTTTATTTAAAAATTATTTTCTCGTCTCTTGACACTGTTGTTGTTTCCTGCGGTGACGTCACAAATTGCTGCCCCTGGAGCTGACGCCTGCACTCCGAGAGGGCTGTCCCTGATGTCACGGGCCGGGGGCCGCGTTGGCCAAGCTCCCCGGTGACACCCACGTCAGTGCGGCCCTTCCGGGCAGCTGCTGGCGTCAGAGCTGTTTCTGTGGCCGCGCCCGGCGTGTCGCCTTCCCCAGAGCTGTGCTGCGGGCCCCGCCCTTGGCCGCGTGCTGCTCGCGGTGCCCGCCCGCCGGCCCCGGTGGCCGGGCTGCCGGCACGGGGCCTGGATGGGCCTGGCCTGTCGGGGCTGTGGTGGTGGCTCTCAGTCCGCTGGGACCCAGGGGCCGGCGGGACACTCGCCGAGCCCTGAGGAGCCGCTGGGCGTGCGCCGACGTCTGGGCAGCCGGGGTCCTGGGCTGTCGAGGTGCCTTTGCGGCACCGGCGTGTCAGGCAGCCGCCGTTCCCGCGTCCTCACCTGGTTTTCCTGGGAGCCCCAGTCCAAGCGCCGGCCTCGGCTGCTTCGGCTCCCGGCTGAGGCCCAGACCCGGCCTGCAGAGCACCGCGAGACAGACCTTTCCTGTCTCACCGCCGTCTTCGAGTTACCAGGGAGTGGCCGCCGCTGCGCAGAGCCGATGAAGAGCAGGAAGGGCCTCCGCTGACCCGGGCCCTGGGGGCCCTGGCGGCCGCCGCCCCTGCTGCAGAGAGAACCCGCCAGCGTCGGGGCTGCAGCCCTGTCTCGCCCACCCGTCGCCCCCTAACTCCGCTGCCTGTGTCTCTGTTTCAGACGCGACTCTCTGCGGTGACTGGGGAGCACCCGAGGCCGGAAGATGAGTGAGCTCGACCAGCTGCGGCAGGAGGCCGAGCAGCTGAAGAACCAGATCCGGGTGCGTAGCCGCACGCGCTCCCTGTGCGCGTCCTCTGCCTTCCGGTCCGGTCTTGGGAAGCCCGGGCTACAAGGTGGCGCGTCGGTGTCTGGGACTGAGGCCGAACCCTAACGGGCCCAGGATGCACTGGTTCCAGACCCCATTTTCGGCCTCGTCCATTCCCTTTAGGGCTTTGTTTTCTAGTATATCATTATTTCATACGTAAAAATGTTTTCATGTAACTTAGAAGCATTTTTCTTTACATATTTTTCCTTTTTTTTTTTAAATTTACTGATTCGCGCAGGAGAGAAACATCGACTTGTTGTTCCTTTCACCTGCGCAGCCATTGGTCGATTCCGGGTGCGCCCTGACCCAGGACTCCAGTGTGGAATGCAGGCGGGTCAAGATAGGCCTCTAGTCAGCTGAGCCGCCCGTGCGGGCGCGCACTCTTTTCGTGACCTTGGCGTTAGCTTCGTGGTGCTCGTGGGGTCACTCTAAAGAAGTGGCCTCGGCCTCTGTCCCTGCACCTGCTGAGAGCAAGACACTTGCTTAAAAATAAGTGTCGAAAACAACAAGAGCCATTTTGGGAGTGCCTGATTTGTTTTTAATTTTGAAAAGAGGTGTCCCCCAGAAGGCTGTTCGAGTCGATGGCTCGTGTAGGCTGGTAGAGCCAGCACACCAACCGAAGACAAACACAGCGTGCGCAGGCTGGCCACCCCTGCGGGGAGCGGTGCTCGCCGAGCTCGGGCACCCTCGGTTCTGTCTCTGACGGGCCATGGTCCCGGGCAGCGCCAGGAGTTGTTTTTTAATTGACTGATGGGATGGAGGGAAGGGCGGCCAGAGACAGGCAGACATCGAATTGTTCCACTTAAGGCCGCGTTCCCTGGTCGATTGCTGTGTGCGCCCTGACCGGGGGCCAACCCCACAGCCTCGGTGCACGGGGCCAGCGCCCCAACCCACTGAGCCGCTTAAACCAGGAAGGTTTAAGACGGGCGGAGTAGCCGACTTACAAGGAGTTGGTGCTGCTGTCCTCCAGTTTCGTAAGGCAGTCCTTTAACAAATTTTTTTAAAGATTCTTTTTATTTACAGAGAGAGGGGAAGAGAGGGAGAGAAACATCCATGTGTGGTTGCCTCTCACATGCTCCCTGCTGGGGACCTGGCCCACAACCCAGGCCTGGGCCCTGACTGGGAATGGAACTGGCGACCTTTCCGCTTTTTGGGATGAAGTCCGATCCACTGAGCCACGCTCGTTGGGCCTGTGAGGCAGTACTTTTAATGAATATTTTCCAGAGAAACACTTAACACAAGCGGGTGTTCCTGTTCTCGGGGATCTCGGGTGCAATTCACTAAAGTAAAAGGGAACAGGTGGAATTAATTTTTAACAAGCTGTGTCTAAATCAGCGTACCTAAGCCACCATTTCAACGTGGAGTTAACATTTCCATTATTTTGCATTCTTTTTTACACACAGTCTTGCGAGCTCAGCGTGTCTCACGCTGCTCGGCACAGCCCCGGTGGCCTGTGCCCCGGCTCCCTCGTGGGGCAGCGGGGCTGCCGGCCTGCGCCCTCTGCGCGGGCTCCGTGTGCGGATGCTGGAGTTGGGCGGCCTCTGCTCAGCGCAGGGATGGCAAAGGCCGGGGCGTCCATTGCACTGCGGGGTGGGGGGCTTTCTTTTAAAGAGGGAAGAAAACACCTTTTTCTCCGCATCGCCCCGAGGAGTGCGCCCTCCTTAGCGAGGACGGCGGCGAAAAATGCCACATGGCGTGTGCAGGTGCAGGCCTTGTAGGGAGTGGCTGTGCCCGCCTGTGCCCACAGGCAGCGCCCCCTTGGGGGCGGAGTAGGGCGAGGGCTGACAGGTTAATGGCTGGGACCCAGTGCCCGAGTTAAGGGGCCAGAAGAGGGGGACCCTCGGTGACATTTCTCATCACAGACACTGCGAAGCGTCTGCACTAAATGCCGCGCCCGCTGTGCGTCACCTCACCAGCCCGCTCCGTGGGCGTGAAACGACGCTCAGGGCTCTGACCAGCAGCAGCTGCAGAGACGGACCCTGCAGGACCCGCTGCCGCGGGAGGCCGGGGTGCTGGCCCCGGGGCGGGGGGTGGGGGCGGCGCCCGCCCGCGCGCAGTCTTTACTCCCCTCTTGCTGTTCATCAGCCACGTGGGTGCCGCCTGCGCGAGGAAGGGGGCGGCCTCTGTTTTAGGGTTTGGACACTCGTCAGGGTAGCTCACGTCCTGTGGTTTGTTTTTCCTGTTTAAAGAATTCTTGTTTCTTCTTCTAACTAAAAGCCACCGGTAGCATCCACAGGAACGGTGTGCGGAAGCTGATCTCGAGCTCTGCTGGGCGTGTGGACTCACTGAGGAAGCACCTGGGGCTCCAGGTCTTCTGCCCCTGGCTCCTCAGCCCCCAGGCTTAGGTGGCATGGAGTCCCGAACACACAGCGTTCTGTTTAATTGTGTAATTTGTTAAACAACATTGTGTGGGAAGTTGGAAGCTAGATCTTTGGAACAGTTACGACAACCATCTCTTTGAATCCGTTTCCTCGTTCTTGGCTGGCGAGCCTTCCCGCCAGCTGTCCTTCTCTTGGGACCGGTTCCTACACTCACGTTTCAGCTCTTTTAAAGCTACTGTCTCATTTTCATTCCTAACGTGTGGCTCTTTGTAAAATACACACTAATTGGAGCTGTCGGGATTTCTTTTTCTGATGATTTTGATCACCGAGGGGCAGCGGGGCGTCTTGATTAGCTCTAGCGCATCCCTTTGTAGTTCTTGCTGGCGCGGCAGGGCCATCTCCTGGGTGTGAACCCAGGCCGCAGGCAGGGCTGCGGGCGCCCTTCTCTGCGTGGCTTGGAGACAGCTCTCCGTGAACACAGCCCAGTGCGGGGCCTCGGCGGGTGGGCAGGAGCAGCGCCCAGCTCTGGGGCTCTCTGGCGCCCCCGGGTTCCTGATTCCGTGTGCAGAGTGCGGGTCGGGCGCGGGCTGCGGTTTGCCACATGGGGACCCCCGTTGCCCACCTTTTGCTCCGGCTCTGGCAGCACCCGGAGGCTCTCAGGAAGCTTGGGACGTGGGCGTCGGACTGAACGCACCTGAGGTTTGACTAATTTCCTCTGTCGCTGTTCCCTCTAGGATGCCAGAAAAGCCTGTGCAGATGCAACTCTCTCTCAGGTGAGCACCGTGCCGGCCGGCACCTCCTGCGGGCCCGGGGGACGGGCGCCAGGCTGGGCTCTCCCCCTCTGAAGTCGCTCCCGTGCGGGCGTGGGCGGCCGTGTCGTGGGACGGAAGATGCAGCGTCTCTCGAGCCTGAAACGAGCGCTCACTGTTGTAGTGAAATGTTGCAGCCCTAAAGGAAGGCATTTTGGAGCTTCTCTCTTTGAACAGATCTGCCTCAAAACTTTTGAGAGGGGGAGAGGGAAGCGTGGCCGTGTGTTCCTGCCCTCACGGCTGATGCCTGTCTGTGCCCCGGCCACTACGACGGTCTGACCAGCGGGGCTGCCCGGCCAGGGCTCTGCCTCGGGACTTCTGTTTCTGAAGTTCCCGGCAGATCCTCAGAGCTGGGCCCCCGCCGCTCCCTGCGGTTTGCCCCAGGCACACGCGGCAGCCCCGGGCCCCGGGGCCGAGGGGGCAGTGCCGCCCCTTCGCTGGGCGGTGGCCACGACAGCGGGCGCCAGCAGGCAGATGGCGGCGCGTGCACACGAGGCCAGTGCTCGGCCCTGGGAAGGGGGCACGGGGCTGTCGTCGGAGGCTGGAAGGAGACCCTGGGTGGCCAGGGGCTCGAGGGCGCACAGGGCGTGAGTGCTCCGTGGCCGTGGGGGGCGGCGCGTTCTGGAGTGAGGGAGAGGCAGTACCGCGCCGCGTGTTACTGTGCGCAGTGCCGCGGGGTCGTGTACCTAAAAGTGGTGAATGTCGCCTCGTTTTAAAAATTATTATTTGTGTCCAAGTCTTTGAACACCAATGTGGGGGACAAATTTTATTTCTGCTGAGGATGATTCATTTTTTACAACACCCTAATACTTACGGGACGCACGCTAATTGGGGTCAGGCGACACGTTGGGGAAGCGTCGCTGCACAGGAGTTCCGGGACTGGAGGTCTGCGGTGCGCCTCGGGCTGCGGGGCTTTACGCCCGTTGTTCTGATGCCGCTGTTCCCTTTCTCTGCCCCAGCTCGCCCTGGTACTCGGCGGTGGGTCCGGTCGGCACATGGGGTTTTGTGCCGCTGCGGCAGGCGCGCGGTAGATGGTTGCTGGCATCTGGGTCAACAAGAATGCGCAGGCTGCGTGCGGTGCGGGAGGCGGGCGCGGCTGGTCCGGCAGGCAGTGGGTGAGACGGAGAGAAGAGGGAGGGTCCGCGGGGCCGGCACGATGGCGCGGCGCCTGCCGCAGGCAGTGAGGTGGAGAAGCAGGTGCCCCTGCAGGCCGGGCCGAGCAATGGGCCTCTCAGGCATCGCGGAGGGAAGGCAGGCGCCCTGTGAACGGGGCGGCCTCTCGGGGGAGCTGCCATGGCGGCGGGGGGGCCGGCGCCGCGGTGGGAGGCGCGGGGGCAGAGGGGCTGAGAGCCCGGGGAGAGGTCCCTCTGCAGAGCGGTGACCCGCGGGTGTGTGTTTCAGATCACAAACAACATCGACCCCGTGGGGCGGATCCAGATGCGCACCAGGAGGACGCTGCGGGGGCACCTGGCCAAGATCTACGCCATGCACTGGGGCACGGATTCCAGGTGCGTGTCGGCGCGGGCCAGGCGCGCCTGGGACGTTCGGGACCTGGCCCGGCTTCCTTAGGGACCCTCTCCCGAGGGCGTTCGCTGGGCCCTGGAAAGGGAACATGAGGGCGCCGCTTGGACGCCTGGATAGGCCGGGAGCAGGCGCACAGGGCACACGCCCGGCCGGAGTCCCCCCGGCCCCGGCCCCTTCCGGCACGACCCCGGCCGGCCCCTGGCAGCTCTGCTCTTTCTTCCCCGCCCCTGTTCTCCCGCATCCACAGCCCAGTGCCCGTGTGGCTTCGGGCGGGTCCTGGCCCCAGCGGGAGGGTTGAGGGGGCTGAGCCCCGGGGGAGCCGCTGGCGCATCCCCGGCGCTGGGCACACCGTGCTGCGGGCCGTGGCCCGTCGGCCGCCGCCCACCCTCCGTGGTCTGAACGGGAGTCCCCGCCCCTGTTCAGAGCCCTCACGCTCTGGCCGTGCCCGCCCCCGGCCTGGGGCCGCCCTCTGCTTCCTGCCGAGGCCGCCGCTCCCCCGAGACCACTGGACACGGTGCCGGCGTGTCCGCGCCTGGGACATGTTCCCTCAGGTGCCCACGGGGCTGACGTCATCTTCGAGGAGCGTCCTTTCTGATGTTCAGCTGTTGGGGGTGACTTTTCAGCTTAGGTTTTTCTTTGTTGGTGAAATTCTCTGCTTTCCAGAGTGTGAACAGCTTGGGACACGAGGCTCTGTCTTCAGTTCTGTCCTGTGTCCCACACGCTTTCCAGTGCAGGCGCGAGCCGAGGCCCTGCTGGCGAGGGCGGCCAAATCGGGACGAGCGGAAGAGGAAAGTGCCCGTATTAATCAGCCCACCTCAGGAGTTGCGTGTTGTGCTGCGTGTAACACGTACCTTTTGGCCCAGGTTTTTGAGAGAAATCAGGGTGCGCATTACACGTGGGTGTGATGGTTGCGTAACCCCGTGTGTGGTGCACACAAAGCTGGGTGCGCGTCCCACACAGCGAAATGCGGTGCCAGAGTAGGTGCCGACCAGACAGTCCATGGCTGCTCGGCCCTCCCTCTGTTGAGGGAGTGTCATCAGTGTCCTGGCCGGACGTCTGTGGCCAGGCGGCCCCCCCCCCGCGCCCGCTGGCCCCCGGAGCCACCCTCAGGCCTCTGCCCGGGTCAGGCAGGCTTCTCCGCGAGGCCACACGTTGCCCTGCCCCATGGGGCGACCGGCGCTGCAGGCCGGGCACGGGCAGCTGTGCCCTGGAAGGAAGGCTGGCGTGTGGCCAGAGCAGCGGGCGGGTGGGGCCAGGCCCCCCGTGTGGGGAGGAAGGGCAGCAGGAGCGTGAGGCCGTCCAGAACAGGGTTTTAAAACTTGGGACGCACGTGTTCCTTACGTCACCTTCGTGTTTTCCACCTGCACAGAGGTCATTGCACAAGACTGTCCGGGGTCAGGGGGTTGCTCAGAGCACAGCCTGTCGTGTGTGCACGGGTCACGGATGCTCGGGGTCGCACGCGCTTACGCCGGGCACGGCGCGTTGGCTCCCGCAGCCGCAGAGAGACCCCCCGGGGGGGGGGCGTTTCTCTCCAGGTATAACGGGCTCAGCACTGTCGTGAAATTAATTATACTTAAGTTCTGCTTTTTGAGGCATTTCAGAGTCTATCTCAGTGACCCGATCAATGTGAGACTTTTCCTCCAGTTTCTGAAGTTTCCTGCAGTTCTGTTACGGTTGAGAGCGAAGCCCCACGAACCTGCTGAGGCCCCGGGGCCGCTGTCCCCTGAGTAGGGAAGGCCCTGACGGGGGACGGGGGGGCCTTCCGGGGCCTCTGTTCTTTGTCGGGTCCCTTCCTTCGTGGCCTCCGCGTCAGTGTGGGTAGCGCCTCCCGGGGACTGTCTGCTGCTTGGCGGAAGGTTCTGAGAGGCAATGGGTCCCGGTCTCCAGCGGTTCCCCCCGGGGGTTACCAGGCGTGTATCTTTCCCCACCTTCTGGAGGATCAGTGGGCATTAGTGTTCCCGTGAGCCCCGCGCGTCAGCAGATTCTAAGCTCTCTGCGCGGGAGCCCTTCTGAAGGTGACCCTGCCGGAGGGAGAGCCTTCGCTGTGCTGGCCCCCAGTCTGGGCGGGGGGCGGGGGCAGGCGGTAGACGAGGCCCCGCCCCTTTCCCAGCAGTCGCTGGGTGCCAGCGGGCACGTGGCTGAGCCGAGGCGCGGGGGTTTGCCGGGCGGAAGCGCGTCGGGGAGGCGGCGGCGCTGCACCCGCTCGCGAGGTGAGTTTCGTGAGGGGCTGAGGCGGCCTCACTCCGTGCCGAGCCCCTTGTGGACACCCGGTGCCCCGGAGCCTGTTCGTGGATAAAAGGTCGAGGGTAGCAGAGTGGCTTGGGTTTTACTTCCAGGTTTTGATCTGTTCAAGTCAAATGTGCTTGTGGCTGAGGTGGCTGAAACCTGTGTGTTTTGATAAAATCTTTAAAATTAAAACTGCCATCATCCGCCGCACTGACGCGTATCCGTGCAGAACGGTGAGTGTGGCCTGTCGCCACCCCTTGAGTGGCTTGTCCGGAGGGTGTGGGCCCCGCGTGGGCGTCCTTTGGCGCTGTCCTGGGGCCGTGCCGCAAAGCCTGGCAGAGCGGCGTCTCCGCACAGACCCGCACAGAGCACGCGTGCCCGGAGCAGGAGAACAGGGAGCGCTTCTCCTGTGGGCCCTGCACGGCTCTGTGGCCCGTCACCGCCTGCCCGTCTGGGTGGCCGGCCTGGGCATCTGGGGTGTGAGAGACGCCGTGTACTTGGACTGTCTGAAAGTTTGTTGCTTCCCCCGTCCCGACTCTCTGTGTGTTGGAATAGAACTGAAAACGTGCACCATGTTATTTTCTGCCGCCTTTGCCTCTGGAAAGGTCTGTGTGTCTCCGATGTGGTTGATCGTGAGCGGGAACCAGACCGAAGGGGTCACCGTTGGGGCCGCCGGGGCGCGGCTTTGCGATCGCTCTGCCTGAGCGCCTCGAGCCCGAACAGTTCCCTGTGGGGACGTCCTCTTTCACGCTTTCAGTTGGCCTGGTAGTGAGAGCTCTCGCTTCTGGCTTACAAATGAGCGTGCTTCGTGTCCCGCACACGCGGCGCGGAAGCCCAGGCTCCCGGACGCCGGTGGGGCTGCTGCCTGCGCCGTCGCACTGCGGGGTCCTGACAGGCTGCTTTGTGTCCCCGCAGGCTTCTCGTGAGCGCCTCCCAGGACGGGAAGCTGATCATCTGGGACAGCTACACCACCAACAAGGTAGGAGCCGCCGCGCCCTCCCTGCCGGACCGCCTGGCTTCGCGTGGGGCTCGGGGCGGCCGCTGGCCCACGGCACCAGCCCCCGCCGGGCCAGCGGCGGCGCTGCGGTCGTTCATCATTGCATCGCCATGCGGGTGGCAGGTGCTGGCTCCTTCGTGTCTCCAGGAGACGTGGGTTCCAGTTTGCGCTCCCTCAGGAAGTCCCATGTTTTACTTAAAAATGTAGCGATGTAGCTGCTCATTTAGTTATCGGTTTTTACAGGACATGATCCGAACAGCACTATACTTTGAAGTATAAATTAAAGTGTTTTAAAAATGTAATCTAAGGTTGTATCTCATGGAACGAAATAGTACTGTTATTTATCCAAACGTGTTGAAAAGAGCAAATGCAGCCGCGTTTTGCCGGCGAGCACGAAAGCGTATGAAGTCTCGCCGCCCTTAAAGTCGCTGTGTCCAGAGCGCAGGGCGGCTGTGCCAGGGCCGATTGCAGTGGTGGCTAGTGTGGCCACCTCAGGAAAATATTTTGTCCTGTGAATCATTTTAGAGCCATTTGGCGGGCCGATGGCGTGCTCTTTTTTTTTTTTTTTTTTTAAACTGAGTGAATGTATTGCTAGCAGAGAAGCCTTAAACTTCTAGACTAAAAGAGCGAGGTCTCCTTTTATTTAACACTGAAGCAGCTCATTGTCAGTTTCGGCTTAAATGAAACTGGATTAAGGTGCAGCCCAGGGTCCCCGATTAATCCCCGCCCGCCGCCGTGCCGGAGCCTGAGCCTGCGCGCCCGCGTTTCTGCCTGCGCCTAGGTCCACGCTATCCCCCTGCGCTCCTCGTGGGTCATGACCTGTGCGTACGCCCCTTCCGGAAACTACGTGGCCTGCGGTGGCCTGGACAACATCTGCTCCATTTACAACCTGAAAACTCGCGAAGGGAATGTGCGCGTGAGCCGCGAGCTGGCTGGACACACAGGTACGTGCCTCCGCCGGCCGCCTTGCGGCACTTCGCCCGCCTGCCCGCAGGCCTGCGCCCGCCCAGGCGCCCCCTCTGCTCTGTCCCTGTGTGATGGCACGGGCTGCGGTCATGGCACAAGCGCCCTGAAAGCGGCTCCAGAGGCGGCCGTGACCCGCCTCCACCGGGAAGAGGCCGCGGGGCCCGTGCAGGGGCCGCGGGGTGCACACGGGCCCTCAGCCCTTCGCCGCGCAGCTGGGCTCCAAGGACACAGCCTGTGTCTGTCAGCATAGGCTGGTCGGGGCTGACACCTGACGGAGCCGGCAGCCTGTCGCGGCGACTGCGCGTGTGCGTGCACTGGGAAGTGAGGTCGCGCCTGTGTGGCGTGCCAGGCAGTGTGGCTGGAGTGTGCCTCAGGCCAAGGCCCGCCGCCCTGTTCGGAGCCCCTCCCTTCCGCCCTGCCTGGCTCTCCCTTGAGTCCGGTCAGGCCTTGCTTCATCGCCCCGGGCGGCGTCAGCAGAAGCCCGTACATGGCGATCCGCGCCGCCGCCCGGCGGACGGGCCGTCCTGTCCTGGGAGACCTGCGTGGAGCTGCGGGGGCGCCTGCATCCGGCAGCACGGCGCTCACGTGCCCGTTCCCCTCCTCGCTGCTGGGCCGTCCGCGTCCCTGGCAGCAGCCCATGGTTGGCGGCTGCTTCCCGTCGGTTCTGCCCGTCTCTGCCTTTTTCGTGCTGTTGGGCTCCTTTCTCTTCTGTGGGACTTGATGTGGTTGGATTTAGCTCTGCTACCTCACCACCTACCCTCCTATCCTGCCTTATTTTAAGATTTTATTTATTTTTGGAGAAGGGAAGGGAGGGAGGAGGAGAGGGAGAGAAACCTTGAGGTGAGAGAGAAACAGCGACCGGCGCCTCTCGTATGTGCCCCCGCCCAGGCGTGTGCCCTGACCGGGGACTGAACTGACAACCTTCCGCTCTGCGGGATGACGTCCCCTCAACCCTGGTCCGGGCCTAGCCTGCCCTTCTTCGGGGTGACTTGGTTTTCTAGAATTTGGTTTGACTTTGTTCTTTTTTTGGTGTCCTCTTTGCACCACTTTCAGTGGTTTGTCTAGGACAGGGTGTGTCGGTGACGTTGCACGGTCCCTTCGGGGGTCCCGCTGTGTCGGTTCGTGGAACGCGCAGGACCCACCGCGCAGCCGCAGGCCCGCGTCCTGATCCCCGTGGGCCTCTCACGGGTGAGGCTGCCACGCACGCCAGGGCCTCGTCCTGGGAACGCCCCCGGTCAGGCCCTGCGGCCCGTCCCGTCCGGCCTCTGGCGCCCGCTGGCAGGGGGAAGGGTGCCCTGCAGGCCGTTCATGGCAGGCGTTGTGTTTACCCCTGAAATTTCTGTGTGCTTTTTTAAACAGCGGCCCCATGTGTCTGTTGGTTTTCCCGGGGGTGGTTTACTCCGGGCACACCGGCGTCCCAGAGCGTGGCTTCGGGGCGGCCCTTGAAGTTCGGGCCCACCAGTCCCGGCCGCTCACCCCGAGGCTGGTCTTGGCGGCTTTTCCTTGAACGTGGGCGGCGGTTTCCTGTTTTAGGCCTTCCAGTGATGCGGGCTTGTGTCCTGGGCACGGCGGGCGTCGAGCTGCGGGCCGGGTCGCACCTTTGGGGGCGTGATTCAGCCCCCCTCGGCCCCTCCTTTCACTTTCCAGTTGGAGTTGCCCAGGAGCCCCCCCCGAAGGTCACCCCCCGCCCCCCCGCGTGCTCCCGTGGGGGCGGCTCCCCTCTGGTCTGCGTCTGTTTCCAGCCCCTCGGGGAGCCGTTTGTATACGGGTTCAGAGCTTGGAGGTGGGGGCGGGCGCGGGTCACCGCTGTGGAGACGAGCCACTGCCCCTTCCCGGGACCGGGCGGGGCCCTGCCAGCCGAGGGGCCTTCCGTTTGTGAAGAGAAAAGCGCGCGGTGTCTGTGGCGCCCGAGGCCGGCCTGGGCCGCGAGAGCGAGCGCAGTGCCGACAGCCCGCCGTGCAGGGCGCGGGCGTCCTCCGCCGGGGGCCCAGGGAGCAACTCTCAGCGGCTGCGGTGGGACGTTTTCTTTTTTAAAAAAGATTGTATGTATTTATTTTTAGAGAAGGGAAGGGAGAGAGAAAGGGGAAGAGAGACATCCGAGTGGGGCTGCCTCTTGCGCGCCCCCTGCTGTTGGCCTGGGCCTCAGCCCAGCCTTGTGCGCTGACTGGGGATTGGACCCGCGACCCTTCCCTTTGCAGGACGGCGAGCAGCCCGCGGAGCCGTGCCGGCCCCCGCTGAGTGTTTTGTGTGCAGGGCCTCAGACCCAGTGCCTGTTTGCTTTTTCCTCGGTGTGCGAGGGAGGCCGTCTTCCCGTCATTCTGCCCCAGGGGCGGCAGTGGGGCTTCTCTCTGGCAGCTGGTTCGGTGGGACGTCTGACTCGGGCCCTTTGTGGTGGCGACCCCGGCTGAGCTGCTCCCCATCTCCGGGCCGGGCCGTGGAGTCGGGGTGCCGGGGTGCCTGCTCCCAGCCGAGGCCGTTGGCCCCTGAGCTAGTGTCTCTCTCCCTTCCTCCCTCCCTCTCTCACACGCCTCCCTCCCCGGCCCCCCGCGTGGCGCGCGCAGGCGACCCCGCCCCTCCAGCCGAGGCTGTCTCCAGGTCCCGCTCCGACCGGGGCCGGCCCGCCCCGCTTCACGGGTGCCGACGGGTAGCCGAGCCGCTGTGGCCCCCAGGGCCCCGCCGTGAGGTGGGGCGTTTCGTTCCTTCACCCCCGCTGCCTTCCCGCTCCTGCGTCAGCTGCCCCGGGGCGGTCGCCCAAGGCCCAGAAAGTGCCGGCCAGCGCCCTCGGCCCGGGGCTGGCCGCTCTGGGCGTGGTGCCTGGTGCAGGGAGCCCGGGACGCCCTGGCTGCCTCTCCTGTGCTCCCAGGGCAGACGACCACGTGCTGGCGGGGGTGGGGAGGGCGCAGGGCCTGTCCGTGGGCCGGCTCCAGAGTCGGGGCTCCAGAGTCGGGGCTCGGTGAGGCCGCGCGAGCAGGAAGTCGTGGTCTCCTGGGAGATGGGGCAGGGGGCTCCGTGCCTGCCGGGGGCTGGTCATCAGGCCCGCGTTTCAGTGCAGGCCACTCCTGTCCCAGCTGGGCCGTGGTTCGCCGGGCGGTCCTGGTCTCGGTGGATGTCACGTGGCCCCCGGAAGTGCGAGACCAAACGTCTTTTTTAGACACATAGGTGGTGTTTTGAAGTTGTCATTTCTAAATACTTCTCCTGTGGGAGCCAGTTTAGTAATTATTTGTTAAATAAATGCTTTGCTTTCCTGACATTCTCACTTCCAGATCAGAGCCTCTGGGTTCTTCTTTGCGTGTGTTTGCTCTCGACCTCACTGGCTCTCGGCAGCGCTGCCCGTGGCACTGCTGAGGGGGCGGGGGGCGCCCTCGGGCCGGGGCCTGCTGCCCTGCTGCCCCGCCCCCTGCCCTGGTTCTCAGGGCCACTGACCTGAGAACAAAGCCCAGACCCTGGTCAAAGAGAGCCCAGTGGGGAGAGACCCAAGTGCAAAGCGGCTCTTCTTTGCCTGTCCCGGTTCCGAAAGCTGGGGCATCTCAGCAGGCGCCCTGTGCCCGTGGCCCCCCCGTGTCCTCAGGCTCGGCCCGGCCGTGCCGCCGACGCACGGACCTCCATGCTCCCTCCTGCCCACGGGGTGGGGGCCGCCCGAGCCCTTCGACTCCCGCAGGCCCTGCTGCCCGCCAGGCGTCTGCCAACGAAGTCACGGAATCGCCGGGCTTCCGGCTTCAGTCCTTGTTGGGGTCTGTTTCCCAGGTTACCTGTCCTGCTGCCGCTTCCTGGATGACAACCAGATAGTCACCAGCTCCGGAGACACCACCTGGTGAGTGCCCCACACGCCGCCCCGCACGCCCTCCCGCTGCGCAGTCACGCCCCGCAGCGTCTGTCCCGCGACACGGCTAGGGAGCCGCCCTCCCCGGGCCGTGGGAGACCCGTTGGCTCGTTGGGCTGCGAAGGCCCGGGAGCCCCCCGGGCAAGCGTGGTCGGCTGGGAGCTGCTGCGCGAGGCTCGGCCCTGCCCTTGTGCGAGAAGTGCCTCCCCGCCCCAGGGGCCGCCGCTGGGGCGGGCGCATCTGTCCCGGGCGAGGCACCGTCTCCTGTAGGCGCTGGGCACAGCCCTGAAGGAGCAGGTGTCACGGCTTCCAGCATGTGACACCAGGTTTCGGAGCACTGACAGTTCGTGCCCTCTTTATAGATAGAAGCCCGCGTCGGTTTTCACTTGTGGTTCCAAACCACATGGTTTAGGGGGTCGGGCAGCAGTTTCACGCCACTTTAGACGCGTCCGTCCCTGAGGGGTTTCCTGCCCCTTGGCGGCACCGGCCCCCAGCTCCGCGGGCAGCGAGGCCGCCCCGACTCCCTCATCCCGCTCGTCCCTCCGCAGGGTGGTTTGGTGGTTTTTCTATAAATGCCATAGGTTCACAGAAGATGGTTAGTGTAGACGTTGAATGTTGTGGAAGGACTTCTTCACTACAATAGGTTTTTTTAAGCTTTTCCTTCTGAGCAGTTTTCTGTCTGCTTCCTCACAATGTCTTGCTTCCGTCCTGGGCCCCCTGGGCCCCGTGGCCCCGCGCCGCTGAGGTCAAAGCCGCCTGGCTGGAGCTGTGCTGCCCGAGCGAGCCGTCCGTCTGCAAGGCTGGACGAGGGGCGTGCTCGGCGGGCTCTGGTCGGCTGCGCTGGCAGCGTCTCCCTGGACGTCCTGTGGCGGCCACGGTAGCCCGGGCAGCGGGTGCCAAGGCCTGTGCCCTCTGCCGTCTGCAGCGTTGCTCCGAGCTGACGGTTTACCTGGCGTTGCTCCCTTCCCCCGCTCCCTGGCCTGCAGGACCCCTGAGGGCACGGAGCTGGCGGATCAGACAGGGCCGGTCCTCTGCCCTGTCCTGCAGCCTCTCGAGGACCCACGTGGCGCCCTGGGGTGTGGGCAAAGCCTCCGGGGTGTCCCTGCTGTAAGGAGACAGAGGCCTCCTCTTTGGTTATGTTGGAGTTGACCTGGAGCCTAGTTACTCAGACCTGTGGCTGGGTTTTTGTTTGCATCCAGAGTCACGTTGCCAGTGTAGGTTTGTCTGAAGTAAGGGGCACCGTCTGACCGGGGTCCCGGGTGGTCTGAAGGACACTTCGTCGCTGTCTCCTGAGACAGCGCGGTGACTCTGCCTGTGCCGTCTCCCGTTCCAGTGCTCTGTGGGACATCGAGACGGGCCAGCAGACGACCACGTTCACGGGGCACACCGGGGACGTGATGAGCCTGTCCCTCGCTCCTGACACCAGACTGTTTGTCTCCGGTGCTTGTGACGCCTCAGCCAAGCTGTGGGACGTGCGAGAAGGGATGTGCCGGCAGACGTTCACCGGCCACGAGTCCGACATCAACGCCATCTGTGTGAGTTGGGGACTCACCTGTGGCTCAGGGCCCTTCAGCAGCTGCTCACACGTCAGATCAGTTGCTAAGAACCGCAGAGCACACCGTCTAATTCTGAAGCGTTTGTTTTGTTTTCTCTGTAAATATTTCCTTATTTACAAAGTCTTCCTGGAGAAAACTGGGCCTTGGGGGGGCCTGTCCTTGGGAGGCCGGTGCGTTCTGCTTGCCTGTGCGCGGCTGCCTTTCCTGGGGCGCCGGGGACAGTCCCCTGAGCGGCAGCCTCGTAGGCAGGGCTCCCCCTTCTCCACGGGACCTGGACTCGTGGGGCCTGGCCTTGAGGGGAGCCACGCAGATAGGTCTGGTGGGCCGCCCCCCACCCCCCGCCTTCTTGCGGGCGCCCACGCTGGGGGCTGGGGGCGGCGTGCGGGGCGCGGACGCCCCGTGTGGAAGACGGCCCCGCGTCTGCGGGCTCCCCCAGGGCCAGGCCCCAGCCCTGGCTGACTCTCGTCCTGTGCCGGCCACGGTCCTGCTTCTGGGCAGGCGGCGTTTTCCAGTCTTTGCCGTTTGTGCCTTGGCGCACTCTCTCAATTTGTTTTCTTCTCCAGTTCTTTCCAAACGGCAATGCATTCGCCACCGGCTCGGACGATGCCACCTGCAGGCTCTTTGACCTTCGCGCGGACCAGGAGCTCATGACTTACTCCCACGACAACATCATATGTGGGATCACCTCCGTTTCCTTCTCCAAGAGCGGGCGCCTCCTCCTCGCTGGGTACGACGACTTCAACTGCAACGTCTGGGACGCGCTCAAAGCTGACAGGGCAGGTAGGTGACGGCCGGGCCTTCCTGTGCGTCCTTCCGGTGGCCCTGGCCGGCCGGCACACGGACCAGCTGAGGCTTCCGTCGTCCGGCTGGGCCGCCTGGCCGCGCCTACCAGGCCCTGCGCAGCCCCACGTGCCTGAGCCGTGCCAGGGACAGCCCAGGGCACGGGGCGGGCGGGGCGTGTGGCTGAGGCTGCCAGGCGCCCGGCGCCGGAGTGTGGAGCCCGGAGCCCCAGGGGCTGGCGCGGGCCGGTCCAGCATGTCACAGCACAGCCTGTGCCGGCGTGAGCAGGGCGGCCGTCCCGTCCCGCCCCGCGTGGGGGTCGCGCCCTCCGCCGCCCTCCCAGTTGTTGGGCGGGACGAGGGTTCGCAGGCCACGCCTTGGCTTCTGCTTCCGGCCCTGCCGGAGCCTGCTCGTGCCCCAGGCCCCCCCCCCGTCCCGCCGCCTGGCGAGGCAGCAGGGGAGAGCACGCCTGCCCTGTGGAGCTCCACGCAGTCACGCGGATGAGGACTGGGGGGCGCCTCACGGCAGTCGGCCCCCAGGCCCTCAGACTCCCTGCCCAGGGTTGTCGACGCACCGACCGCCCCCAGCGGCCTCTGACGCTGGCCCCCGTGTCCCATGCTCCGGGCCCTGCACTGGGCCCTGAGGTCACGGCCCCGCGCTGTCCTGTTGTGGCCGCCCTGCGGTGGCGGTGGCTTGGGTGTCCTTGTGTTTCCGTCCCATTGCCTGTGTGAGCGCCTCCTTGGTGAGGGCTTGGGGCAGGGGCCCTGAGCAGTACAGGGGTGCCGTGCCGTGTCCGTGACGGGCGGGCGCGTGTGGCACAGGCGTATCTCAGTTGTGGTTGGGAGAGGAGCGCGGACCCCCATCCACCACGGGAACCAGCCCCCCCCCAGCCCCCGAGGTGCTGCAGGGCTGGTCTGCGCGCGGGGCACGGGGTCTGCCGCCATGAGTGCCCCGTCCGCCTGCCCTGCGCTGTCCCCGCGTCACGGTCAGGCCGGACCGCGCATGTGGCCCCGCGGTGACCGCTCTCACTCGCCCCAGGTGTCTTGGCTGGGCACGACAACCGCGTCAGCTGCCTGGGCGTGACCGACGACGGGATGGCCGTGGCGACAGGGTCCTGGGACAGCTTCCTCAAGATCTGGAACTGACCCCGGCAGGTAACGTGGCGGCCGGGCCCTGCCCGTGGGCGGCTCGCGGGTGCTGGGTTTGCTGGGCACGGAGCCGACAAGGAAGGGCGGTGGGTCAGCCCCTGCTGGCCGCTCGCCCAGAGGATGCCGCAGCTTTGACGACAGGTCTGCACTGAGGTGCGCTGTTCTTTTTACATTTTTGAAAGATGTATTGCGGTGACGTTAGCTCATAAAATGACGTGGGAGCTGGGGGTCCGTTCTGTCGTCCATGCTCTGGGCGCCGCGTTGTGCGCCCAGCGCCCAGGCCGGCCCCCTTCCCTCACCCCTTGCCCCCCGTGTCCCCGCTCCTGCCCCGCATTCGCCCCGCCGTCCTCTGTGTCCGTGGGCCGCTTCTGTTTCGCCCTTGGCTGGATCCTGTCACCGCCCCGCCCCCCGGCGGCCGTCAGCTCCTCTCTGTCTGTGCATCTCTTTCTGTTGGGTTCGCTGGTTTTGTCTGTCCGATGCTGTGGGCAAGGGAGCTCACAGCGCGTCTTCTCCACCGGCCTGTCCGCTCAGCCCGGTGCCCCGGGCCCCTTGTTCTGACACTGTCCTGAACTCTGTTTGGAACAGCAGGTGCACGCCACGGCGACCGGAGACCATTCCACCCCGAAGCGTTCCCGTGATAGCATTTCCAACCCCTACTAACGTGGGCGCCCTCCCCCCGAACTTCAAAAGGGCAAGATCTTTCCTTCACTCACTGCTGAAACCAAGAGCACAATCCCACGAAGAGAAGAGTCTGTGTCCGCTCGACGAGCCTGCGTTCCTCCCGGGACCATTGTCTTCGTTTGCCTTTTGTCTGAATGAAGTTAAAGGGAAAAACCACAATAAAGATGTTGACCAGAAAGCCAGCCTGGGTGTCCTTGTGACAGACACACCTGGTCGCTCGTTTATTTGGGTTTTAGATCAGTGATCCTGTTTCGTGATGTTCCTGCAAAACAAGTTGAGGACTTTACCTTGTAATCGGTTCTAAATTTCAGGTCGTGTTTGTAATGGATTTTGAAAACATATTTCCTTTTTAAAATATCTTTATGTTCAATAGTTCAACAGAGAGTCTAGTGAGGTCTCTCTGAAATTGTTAATGATGTAAATTTAGTCCCTGGCTTTTTTTATTTTTTGTCTAGTGTCACGTAATTGTTGCGCACAGACATGGCACAGAAAGCAAGCGCGGGACTGAGCACAGGCCGCTGGTGGTCGTGGACGCGTGGTGACCGGCAGAGCCCAGTCAGCTCCCTTCTCCCCGCCCCCGCCCCCGCCCCGCCTTCTCCGCTCGGTTTCTGCTCTCACCTTGGGTTTCCCTGTGAAGTGGGGGGAGTTCGTAACAGCAGCCTAACACTACCCGTGCCCACCCCCACCGTCAGAGCCTCTGTTTTCGAGAGAGGTGCCCGTCCTGTGCTTGGATAGTGAGTCAATTATTTGTGTATGAAACAATGTACAAATCAATGTTTTGAAAATAATGATCTCAAACTTTCTAAGTTAAATTTTAAAAAATTTGATCGTTTGCCATATCGGGTGGGTTAACTCTTAGACTCGCATGCTGTAGAAATGCTCAAACGTGCATAGAGGACTCTGTCCTTAGATGTTCTTTTTCTTTTAAGAAATAACCTCTTTAAAGTTGTAACCATTGCGGCTCTACCCACTGTCGTTGCTACTCTGCACGCACCGGGAGCAGTACAGTGAGCAGCTCGACACGCTTGAGTAGCAGGATAAGTCACTGTTTTCTTTCTTTCTTTCTTTCTAAAAACAAGTCCTGTTCCAAATGACCGCTGTTGCAGTCTGGGGGGCGGGGCAGGGGGCGGAGGCGCTGGCCCTCCTCCAACCGCTCCTTGCGGCCCGTCTTGCGGAACCAGCCGTGGGCACCGGAGGCCTCCCCGGTTTCCTGCTGCCTTGTCTGCAGCAGCCTGTGGGCAGAAGCACCGGCCCGTCCCGCCCGCCCGCCGCCTCCCGTGTGGGCGCCGCCGCAGCCGGGCCCTCTCCGCCCATCCTCTGTAGAGCGCTCTGCCCTGCCCTTTTGTATTTAATTTTCAGTCACTGTACTGCAAGGAAGCTGGATGCAAGATAGACCCTGTATTAAACTGTACTGTTATTTAAGATGTAATAAAGCAGTTTGACATGAGGGACTCGGGTGTGGCTGCTCATTCGCCTATTCGCCGGCGGGGTGATGGGCGGCCGCTGTCCCTGCACAGTCGGGTCTGGCCAGGGGCCCAGCCGCCGTCGCCTGCCGGGCCTTCTGTCCTCTTCACGGAAGGTCCATGGAAGGAGAGACGGGCCCCGCTGGCGGCCTGGCCCCTGCAGCCCTGTCCCCCACTCGCCCCCCTGACTGTCCCGTCCCGGGTGGCTGTCCTGTGTCCCAGCTGACGGCCCGTCCTCCGGTGCGCCCCGAGGTCTCCCAGCACAGCACCCCGGGACAGGCTCCTCTGACCACACCCTCCCTCCGTCTGAACAGGAACCGTGTCCTTAGAAAAAGACGCATCTCCCACCAGTCTCCCAGAGCCAGCTTGAGCCAAGGAGGGCAACCCCCACCCCAGCGCACGGCCCCTCCTGGGGAGTCTGGACAAGGCCCCCTGTGGTTCTGTGACACCGTGTCACGGGCACCCTGCTGTCCCCCGACGTCCAGCCCTTAGGAGGTGGTGGGCCCAGTTTTGGGGGTATGCGGTTTAACCCATACGGAGCCATGTTTAAGAGAAAATGCAAAGAAACCAACAGCAAATTATGATAAGGTAGGTAGATAGATGGCCACGCGCGGTCACCTGGGAAGGTCAGAGAGGACCCTCGGGCCCCGGGAGGCAGGGCCCCCGCCCACGCCCCGCCCAAGCTGGCCCCCTGGTGTCCCTCCCTGCCCCCCAGCCCAGCCCGGGCACGGCTGCCAGCCCTTCCCTCTCCCCACCACAGCCTGACGCGGCCCTTGCACTCGGCCCCAGGACACCTCCTTCCGGAACCTTCGGACGCCCTGAGGCAGCCGCCCCCTGGGGCCTTGTCATGCGCTATTGCTGGTCAGCCCTTTGGGACTGCGTGCGTGGCAGCTCCAGGCCTCTGAATCCCCGGGGTGGCCCTGGGGCCTACGGGGACGCTGGTCCCCGCAGTTTCCTCATGTCGGACAGGAGGAAGTGCCCTTGCCAGCCGCCTCAGGTGCAGGGTGCACAGAGGGTCGCCTCAGTTCCAGACAGGAACCTGCCCCAGTCCCCATCGGAGAGGCTACACAGCAAGGGCCCCCCAGCATCCTTGGCCGGCGGCACTGCCCAAACCCCAGTCTTGGTGCCTTCTCTGCAGACTGTCCCGCTCTGGGGGCTTCCTGCAAGGCCAGGCCCACGCCAGGTGGCAGCAAGTGCTAGGTCAGCCGCTGGTATGTTAATGGGGATGTACCCAAAAATGCAAGTCAAGAGGCATGTCCTTTGGGTGTGGCTGGTGGTCACTTTGGGGAAGAAGGTGGTTTTAGAAAACCAGATAGGGAAGTTACAGAGCTTGAGAAATCCCCTCAAAATTCCCATCATGCTCGACCCCCTTTTCACCCACTCCTGGTGCCCCCACTGCCCAGTGGTCCCAGGCCAGCAGCGGAACATGTCCTTTTCTGTGACCAGCAGTATTCCAGGGCAGCGGACAGTGGGCCAGGAGTCCCAACCAGAGAAGACGGACGAGAGCCGGTATGGGGGTGGGGGACGCTGGGGACCAAGTGGCTGCAGCGGGGCGGGATGCTCCCTGTCCGGGAGCCTCCAGTGTCAAGAAGGAGCAATGGCCGGGACTGGGAGAGCCAGGCAGGTTAGGAAGGACCCCGCAGTGCGGCGTCCCGCAGCAGTTGCTTCGGTGTGCGCCCGGCACACTGCTGGGACCCGACTCCGCGGTGCCCTAGTGGGAAACCCTCAGCGCGGGACGCCTTGGGACAAGCACCGAGCTCCACCAGGTGCAGCAAGGCGCACGCTCGGATTTGGGCCCCGTCCCCCTCTCCGGGTGCTCCAGGCCTGGGGTGGGGTACGGCGTTGGCAGGTCGTTCTAGAGGGGCCCCACTCAAATCGCAGAGCCACGGAGGCTGGGCGGTGTGCGCGCAAGGAGCGGCCAGGAGGCTCGAGGTGGGCGAGGTCCGGTCCCGCCACCTGCGCCGACAGCCCAGGGCGCGGGTCTGTCGCAGGTGCCCACACCGAGTTTTGGTTCCCGAAACAGGTTTCTTCTGAGCAGAGTCGTCACGGAGTCCTTGTGTCACCGCTCTCGGGGCGTCAGCCGACCGGGGCTTCGCGGTGGGGAGGGGGGCGGACCAGGTTCAGGGGCAGGGGGCGCGGGCGGGTGGGCGGGCACGGGTGCTCCTGATGCGCTCTGGCTAGTGACGCCCGGCACCGCCCTCCGGCGCAGCCAGAGCCCGGCCGCTGACGCTGGAGTCAGCTCCCCCCCGCGCCGGGCCGGCGTCCGCGGCCGCCGCACCACGTGCGCAGTGTGGGCGGGGCGCGCGCGGCTGGCGGGGCGCGTGCGCGGGGCGGCACGCGCGTGCGCACTGGCGGCGCGGCGGCCGGGCTCCTCGGAGGGCCGGCGCCGCGGGCCGGGCGGCCATGGGGCGGGGGGCGGCCGCGGCGCCGGGGGGCGGCTAGCGGCGACGAGCGGCGGCGGGGTGGAGGAGTCCGCGGGCTGGGCCCGGCGAGCGGGCGGCCCCGCAGGTGCCCGCGGCAGCGAACGGTGAGTGCGCGGCGCTCCTGGGCCCGGCTCGCCGCCTGCGGTAGTGGGGTCGGGGCCCGGGGGGTGTGGACGCCGGGAGGCGCTGGCCGCTTCCCCCGTCCCGGGAACGCGGCGTCCGCCGGACGTGGGCCCGGCCTGAGGCGACGACTCCCAGCCGGCCCGGGGCCCGGCCCCCGGCGCTGCCTGGCGGCCTCGCCGAGCTTGCTGGGCGCGCCGCTCTCCGTCGGGGCCTCCGAGCTCGGCGTTCATCCCCCGAGGCCCCGCCGGCCGTCTGGTGCGGAGTAACCCGCTCCCGTCGCCCCGGCGCGGGCCGCTCCGTCTGACACGCAGCCTCGCGCGTGGCCCGGGAGTCGCCCCGGCCGCACCCTCGGGCGGCATGAGCGAGCTGCCGTCCGGGCGCGCGGGACGAGGCCCTGCGGGTGCTCCTGTCCCCGCTTCCCGCCCCCACCCGGGCCGCGCTGCCCTCTGTCCCCGGCGCGGCGCTCACCCCTTGCCCTGTTGTCACCTTTGCTCCCGTCACCGCGGGCGGAGCCAGTGCGCACCTGGCTGCCCTGGAGGCGGGCCCTGAGGTGGCTCTGGGCTTTCCTCTTCCAACTGGAGATTGGCTTGTGCTGCCAGCACGAAACTGCGTGCAACTCACGCTCTGTGACAAGGGCCCCCTAGCCGGCCGAGCAGCATTCTTTGGCCGTGGAGGTGGCGGCTGGGTGGGAGGGGACCGGTGCCCCTGATGGCAAGACCGGAAAGCGTTGACTTCTTGCAGCGATGCTTTTGAAAAAAAGTAGGTGTCGCCTCCAGACCGGGGGGCGGGGGAGGGGGGAGGTGTTTTGTGGGAGTTGATGGCCTTTGCCTTTATGACCTGACATAGCAGCTTCTCCGCAGCCCAAGCGTCCCAGCAGTTAGAGGGACCCGCGGGGCTTCCTGGGCCTGCGTGCGGCGGGTGCTGCCGCCTTTCCCTATGCTCTGCCCCGGGGCGCCTGGCCCTCGTCTGCGCCTCTGGGGCGGTCCCTCCGCGGGGCGCCCAGCCCCCAGCGACCTCGCCAGCCCGGGCTTTGCTCTTCGTTGTTTATTGGGTGGGGGGAGGAGAGGAGGCAAGTTACCAGGGACTTTTTTCCATCTCAGTGCTCGCTAGCGAGGTCGAAGAGTTTCCCACTTATGTCGCCAAACGAACTCTCCTTTTCCACTCGGTTTCAACAGTTTCGTGGTGGAAGCTGGAAGCCGGGTGCTCCAGGCCTGGGGTGGGGTACGGCGTTGGCACGTCGCTCTCGAGGGGCCCGACTCAACTCGCAGGCCCAGAGCCACGGAGGCCGGGCGGTGCGTGCGCACGGAGTGACCCGGAGGTTCGGGTGGCCGCGATCCCGGGGCCTGTGTGTGTGTGGCGTTCCTAGATTTTTTGTGCATTTACTTCCTGTTGCTTCGCCTGCTTCTGAGGATCCGGTTATGGGCCCCAACCGCCTCTGACTCAACTGCCCCCGCAGAGGCTGTTTGTTAAAGCTCAGGGCGGGGAATGAACTTGGGCAGAGCAGGAACTTCTTTTCAGAAATGTACATGCGAAACGGACGTGAATTAAATGTGAATCCTGACTCACTGCAGTCAAAAAATACGTTGTGGAGATGCATTTTAGAAGCCGATTTTCATATTTAATCTGATTATTTCATAAATTAGTTTCCTCTGTGGTTAACTAATTAGTCTTTGCAAGTAAATGTGAACGGTCTCTAGGTCATGTGTAATAGGCGGTTTTTAAATATGCTTGCTTTTTGTCGTTTGGATTGGTTTTACCCAGTTTTTTTTTTTTTTTTAATTGCTCTTTTTAGTTTTGGTCAGAGAGGGGAAGAGAGGGCGACAAGGAGGCAAACACCGTCGGGCGCCTCGTGTCCGCCCCCAGGCAGGGCCTGGCCCTGACCTCCCTGGGGACTGAACCTGGGTTGTGAAACAAAGCCCCGCCCCGCGGGTGCGCCCGGGTCGCGGCCGGGTCCCGGCCTCCCGCGGACTGACCGACAGCACTGTGGACGCCCCAGAAGCTGGGCTCAGACCCCGGGCCTGCCCGGCTGCCAGGCATGGCCCCCCATGCGACGCTAGGGACACCGGGAAGCTGGCTGCCCCTGTGTGGGGCTGCGTGTCACAGCAGGCAGCCCGGGTGCTGCCCTGTGGAGCTCATCCAGGCCCCGCTCCCTGCCCGGGGCTGCTGCTCGGGCGCCTCGGTCACCCTGTCCTGCAGCGGGCGGCCGCTGAGGGCCGTCGCGGGTCCCGGCGGGTGGCCCCTCCGTGCTGGGGGCGCACACGGTTTGCCCAGCCGTTCCCCCGCCGGCCCACCTTCGCTGCGGCTGCTGGGAGCGCTCTTCCACGGCTTCCTGGGTGCACGGGCATCCGGTGCCAGGGTGGGCGCCGGGCGCAGTTGCTGGGCTGTGCGTCCCGTGTTTATGAGAAGCTGCCGGACGACCTTTCAGGCAACTGTGCCTCTCATGTTCCCGCCCCGCGTGCAGGTCGGATCTCTGCCGCCGCTGGCTCTCGGTTGCCTTGGTGGCTCTGGGAGGTGTCTGGCGACGTCTCCTCGCGGTGTCTGTGTGCACGTCCTCGTGGCCGGCGCCTTTTGTGCGGCCCGTGTGCCCCACGGCCGTCCTCTCAGCCTGCCCCCCTCTGCCCGTCATGTGACGGGCTGGGCGGTTTTCCGCCGCTGCGTTGGGCGGCTTCCTCGTGTTCGCGATGCCAGCCCTTCGTCGACTGTTGCATGTCCGGGTGTTGTCTCCCCGTCTGCAGCTTGGTTTTCAGTCTTCGCAAAAGGGCCCTCGACGGAGCAGGTTTCTAATCTGAGCGAAGCCTAGTTTATATATATCTTTTTCCTTTTATGGACTCTGCTTTTTATATCATATATAAACAATTCTCTTTGGCCCTGAGTCCCAAAAATTTCTCCTGTGTTTCCTCACAGAAGTTTTGTACTTTATGATTTACACTAAGTATAATTGATTTTGATCCATTTTGAGTTGATTTTCGTGAGGCATGTGGACTTTGCGGGGGGCGCGCTTCCTTTGCCATGGACGCCTCATGGCTCTGGGGCCAGCTGGGGAGAGAGCGCCCTGCCCCGTGGATCACCCGAGCGCCCTGGGCAGGGGCCGTCTGGGCACAGCTGGGCGGCTCTGCCCCGCTCGCTCCGCGGCCGTGGGTCTGCCAGACAGTCTCGTCTGGGCCTTACGGACGCCGAGCTAAGCCACAGGCCGTGCGGGGGAAGAGACGCCCCGGACGCCCGGCCCTCCCGCCCAGCAGCCGGCCTCCCTCCTCTGTCCTGGCCCGGTCACCTCTGGGTTCCCTCATCCCTGTTTGATGAGTTCGGGCTTGCAGGCCCTCCGCGTGGTTTGTTACATTTACAGCTCATTATTTTAAGGACGGTAAAAGCTACACGTTTCATTCCAGCTTCCCTCGGCTTTGCCTGTAGCCCTGACTAGGACTTCAGTGTTGCTGGGTGGGGCACATCCGGCCTGGCCCCCAATCACGTGGAGAACGTTCACTTTTCCACCATTAAGTAGGCTGTTAACGTAGGGTTTTTTTGTTGATGTTCTTTATCAAGTTCAGGACGTTCCTTTCTGTTCCTAATTGCTATGGACTTTTATCATAAATGGGTATATTTTTGTGCATCAAGTGATGTAATCGATGGGTTTTTCTCTTCCTACCCTGTTGATACCTTGCACTGTGGTGACTGAGCCAGCCCTGCATTCCCAGAACAAACCCCGGTGGTGGTTGATTAATCCCTTTTAATCATATATTGTGTGGGAATTAAGGCTACTTTGGATAGCACAAAACGTGACTAAGACTCGTGTGATACGCGTCATGCTTACACTGCAAGTAGAAGCTGAGGCAGCGTCGCGTGCGTGCTGCGCTGCGGTCGCGGCGCCCTGGCTCCCGGCTCTGGCCCGGCACCGCGGCAGTCGCGAGCGCTCCGGGCGGCGTCCACGTGTGGCTGGGGGCGCGGCCGCACTGCATGCTGGGGGGGGGGGCGGGCGGCCTTTGTGCAGGCAGAGGGCCTTGGCGCTGCTTTGTTCAACACTATCTTTTTTTAAAAGTAGTGTTTTTATTTTTTTAATATTTATTTGTTTATTAGAGGGGAACAGAGGCAGAGAGGGAGAGACATCCATCCGCTGCCTCTTGCGCGCACCCCACTGGGACCTGGCCCGCAACCCGGCCTGTGCCCTGCCTGGAATGGAACCAGTTCCCTCTGAGCCACGCCGGCCAGGGCTGCGGGACTTCCTCACTGATAAGCACACTTGGAAAGTGAGCTTGTAGCACTGTGCAGACCTAGCTCCCCTCAGCCGTTTAAATGAGAACTACCTCGATTGACTGACTTCTTTGAATACGCTACCCGTAACATCAGACGGAACATATAAAAACCTGATGATTATGAAATTATGATAACCCTTTTGGAAACTTCAGCGTCGTGGGTGTAATCCACTCGCTGTCCTTATCAGGGCTGTAGCCACCTGACCGGGTGGTTGCTTCTGCGGCTGCGGGAGTGAGAGTCCCACGTCTTCTAGGGTTACCGCTCACCGTCTGGCTCAGGCCTGGGCCGCAGGCGTGACTGCAGCTCGGGGCCCCACGCGGGGCTGTCTCCGTGGCTGTCTTGTCAGGGTTCTGTCCCGAGCTCCTCTGAACTCCAGCGGGGCGGGCCCTCCGCCCGGGGGTGGGCGGTGCCCTGACGGAGCTCCCAGTGTGCGGGGCCCGAGTTTCAGAGGGGGCTCCGGGGCTCCGCCGGGGACTGTTTCTGTAGGCCGAGTAGCAGCGTCTGCAGGGTCTTCCCCTCCCAGGACCCTGGCCGGCTCGTGCCTCGGCCCCTCTGCTGGGCCTCCCTGCTGCGTGGGGTGCCGACGTCTGTCCGCTGTGGCCGTGAGCAGGGCTGCGGGCCCGTCTGTGCCGGGCTGCCCTGGGGTCGGCCCGCTGGCCAGGGGAGCCCAGCGGACTTGCCGGCAGGGCAGGGGGGCCTCTGCTGCCGGGTCCCACGGGGTCGCCTGCGTCCCGTTCTTGCGCCCTGGCCCCCCCTCGGGCTGCGGGGGGGGGTGCGCCGTCCGCAACTGTGAGTGTCCCTAGATGCCAGCCACACGGCTTCTCTGTCCAGACCAGCCTGCCCCCAGAGCTGCAGCCTCGAACGCGAGGCTGCCATCTCCCCTTGGCCAGTAAGACTCGTGGGATTCAGCGAGGGCCTTTCAGGAGCCAAGAACCCGAGCACAGCAGAGCCGGTCGCTTCAGCGCGGTGGCGGGGGGGGGGGCGCCCCCCAGGAGGCCGGCCTCGGGGCGGCAGCGGCGGGGGATAGGGCTGGCGGAGGCGCCCTTTGAGCAGAGACCCGAGTGGGGGGCTGTTTCGGGCTTGCGGCGTCCCCGGGTGTCGTGTGGGTGCCTGCGACTGGGTGAGTGGGAGGGGGCGGTGGGGGAGCAGGGCGGCTGCCGCACACAACAGGCGTGTGCATAACATTTTAAGCAACTGCCCTACTCCCGCCCCCCCCCCCCGCCATGCCGCGTGGCCCCTCCATGACCTCGCCGGTGCTCCGCACTGGTCGCTTCTGTTACATTGTGGCCGTTGTGGTTGCATGTCAGGTGGTATCTGACTGTGGTTTTAATTGCGTTTTCCTCGTACCTGCTGATGTCGGGCATCTTATGCGTTTGTGTCCATGTGTCTTTTTCGGGGAAGTTGCCTAAAGTTGGGATCTAGTGCCCATTTTTTAACTGGGCTGTTTGTTTTCCGACTTCCGAGAGTTCTTCATCTACTCCGAGGGAGGGCCCTTTGCCCCTGTGTGTGCAAGCACTCCCGCCGGCCTGCAGCTGGTGTCTGCGCTCCGCCAGCAGCGCCTTCTGAAGGTGGAAGACGCTCGTTGTGACAGACTTCGGCTTCTCTTGCAGTTCGTGCTCCCTGTGCCGTTTTCAAAAGAACCTTTGCCCCCCGACCCGTGCGGCCGAGGTGGTTGGGCGCCATCCCATGGAGCCAAGGGTCACCTGTTTGATTCCTGCTTGGGGCACATGCTTGGTTGCGGGTTTGGTCCAAGAAGCAACCAATCCGTGTTTCCCTTCCCCTCTTTCTCCCTCCCTTTCCATCTCTCAGTAAATAAATAACATCTTTAAAAATAATAAATGAAAAAGAAAAAAAACTTCGCCGAACCCAGGGCCTCTAAGACTTCCTCCTGCGCTTTCCCCTGCAAGTTCTGTAGTGTGACCCGTGGTCACGTTTGCCTGTGGTGTGAGGGGTCAGCTTCACCCTTTCACAGCGCCAAGCCCCCCTGACCAGCCGAGGAGAAGGGACGGCTGTGTCCCTGCCAGCGCCTCGCCCGCTGCGGAGCGTCCACGGGCTGGCTCTGGGAGGGTGTCCCCCTGTCCCCTGGCCTGTCTGCCCGTCTGAGGGTCAGCGCCACACTGTCTGCTCTCTGCAGCCTCAGCAGGCGAGGCCCTCAGGCGCCGTTCGCTCGGCCGCCTGGCCGTTCGGGGTCCCTTCCATTCCAGGGGAGCTTCACAGTTGCGGGCGTTTCTTGCTGGAGAGCCTGCCAAGGCTGTGCGTGTTGGGTTTGGGGAGACCCTCTAAGTGGGCGTGAGGGGAGCTGAGCTCTGCGGGGCCGCGGGGCCCCGGGCCCCAGCCCCCAGCCCGGGAACACGGGCTCCGTGCCCCTCCCCTCCTTTCCTCTGACCTCTGTCCTGATCTGATGGTGTTTTCAGTGCGATTTTGTGCCTTTTTTTTATTGAGTTACAGTTGATGTATAACATTGTATCCGTTTCAACTATACCAGGCTTTTCGATAATTTGTACATGTTGCAGAACTCTCCCCCTAAGTCTAGTTCTGTCTCCTTTGGTCTCAGGAGCCTCAGGTAGGACGCAATGTTGTTGTTGACTGTGGCACCTGGTCCCCCGTGTGCCCCGACACCTGGAAGCAGGTCTCGCACGTCTTCAGCTCATTGCATCGGTGCACGTTTTACCTTTTAATGCTGCTGACCACGGTGGCCAGTTTTTAAATTTCAGTTTCTTGTTGTTCATGCCTGGTACACAGAAATACTGTTGATTTTCGTGTATTGAATCCGTCTCCTGCATCCTCATTAATAAACTCATCTCTTAGATATTGTCACTTCTTTGGAGATTCCTCATATATTCTGCATAGACGATCGTGCCACGTGTGCTCGCTCATTTTGGGGAGCGGAGTTTCCTTCGAGGTTCTGAGGGTCACTCTGGGTGGAGGCCGGGGCGGAGAGCGCGGGCGCGGAGCCCAGCGGTCCCGGTTGTCCAGCGCTTCTGGGCAGAGAGGCTTTTAAAACCGCGCCCGGACGCTCTCAGTTAACTGCCACGCCGTGACAGATGCCGCCACCCCGTTGTGGTGGGTTTACTCTGGTTTCAGGTCCCCTAGAGTCACTGAAAACCACAGATAGGCTCTCGAATTCTTAAACACCTCTGGGTGGAAACAGGCAGTTTGGTACAGCAGACTGCGGTCCTCCCCGCTGGGGCAGGGGCGTCCGCGCGGGGTGTGTGGCTTGCGCTCGCTCACTTGCTGCATTTCGTTGAACCCAGGGATCAGCGTTTTCCTGACCCGAGCCCCCATTCATTGAGGATGGAGATGGAGCCCGAGAAGGTCAGCGTGAGGAAGGGGCTGAACGCAGATGCGCCCTACCGCTGTGCCGCCTGCCACGGAGACGAGGACAGGGGGCCGGGCCACGCTGTCCGTGGCAGGGCCAAGTCCCGCAGCCTGTCCGCCGCGCCTGCCCCCGCAAGCACAAAGGAGTTCAGGTACGGAGGCCTCCTCCACCTGCCCGCCTGCCGGGATGGTGTGCTGGGCCCGTGAAGGCTGCGGCAGGGCTGCCGTGGGCTCTGAGCTGGTGCCCGTGGACCGGGCTCTGGGGGTTCCTGCCCGAGGCTGCGGGAGGAGGGCTCATCTTCCCAGCACCCCCCGGCCCTGACTCCGTCCTCGGCGGTGCCTGCGCACGGTGGGCCTGGAGGCGCGTGGCCGCGGCTCCGCCTCTGGCTGGGGCAGGTGGTGGCCGAGGACCCGTGCGGGGGGGCTGGGCGAGGGCCCTCTCCCCGACTCCCGCAGGCCAGCCGCGCAGGCGTGGGCGAGCCACCCCGGGACCGCTCCGGGCGGTGGCAGGGGTGTCCCGACCGGCCCGCTCTGAGAGCGGGCGCCGCCGCTGCGTGGCCCTGTCACCTACTGTGTGCTCTCTCCTGCCAGGAGGACCCGCTCGCTGCACGGGCCGTGCCCAGTGACCACGTTCGGACCAAAGGCCTGTGTGCTGCAGAACCCCCAGACCATCATGTGAGTGTGCGGGGCCGGCTCCCTGTCTGGGAATGTCTTGCGGGGCCTGTGCTGTGGAAGGTCCTGGTGCTTGGAGTGAGAAGCCTCGCGGACATGGGTGGGGTGGGCAGGCACCTTTTTGTCGTCGTGGGGGTTTTTTGTTTTGTTTTTTTTGTAGAAAATATAGGAAGAAAAACAACATATTTCATGCTCACACATTTGGTGGGTCAGAATGTTTCCTCTTTAATTATTCTTAAAATACAAGACATTGGCCTGTTCTAACAGCTGAGTTTACTTGCTTGAGACAGACTCCGCCACGCAGCTGCTGCTCTCACGCCGCGCGGTGGGCGGGGCCTGGGGCACCTCCGCACCTGCTGGCTGCTGGTGCCCAGCAGGACACCGTGAGAGCCAGGCCGCCCAGCGGTACCCATCGTCCAGCTCCTCCCTGGTGTTCGGCGGCCCTCAGGGAAGCCGCTCTGTCTCCACGTGCTGCCCGGTGACCTGGCTGTGCTGGGTCTTATAGGAAAACACTAATGGAAAAAGGCTAACATGCTTTTTTCAGAAACTGGTACTTTAGGTTAAAAAAAATCAGAACTCTGTCTCAGCTCTGGTAGCCATGCCTGGCACCTGTGGCGAGCTCCTCAAAGAGGGTCCCCAACTTCCAGGGGAGCCCTGGCCACAGGGAACGGTCTGCCCGCTCTCGAGCTGCTGCTGCTAACCCAGCCAAGGTCTTTGCTCCCCGACCGCAACCAGTGCGTGGCCTGACGGCTGCCTGTGCTGCCACCTGCAGGCCGCCCCCAAAACTGCAGGGCGAGCTGGGAGTGCCCTGCCTGCCTCCTGCGGAGGCCGAGGGCCCAGCACCCGGCCTGGGCAGCTCTGGTGGTCCTGCCTCCATCTGTCCAGCTGCTGTCCAGTCACCTTGGCCGCATCCTGTCCCTCTAGCGCCCCCACAGCGGACACTGGGGTAACCGGTGCCCCCACAGCCAAAGCCCCACTGTCCTGCCGGGCGGCCAGCGCCCACCTTGCCCTCGCCCTGCACCGAGACTGGCGCTGCCGTGGCTTCTCGCCTGCTGCCTCGGGGCCCCTCCCTGCAGTTCCTGGCCGGGCCAAGCTCCAGGCGGCTGTCCCATCTTGGGAGGCGCCCGGGGGCCTGTCAGCGCCCAGCCTGCGCGAGCAGCCACCCCCAGCTGAGCCTGCGGCCACCTTGCCTGTTTTGGCCTCATGAGCCTCAGGTGGGGGCCCAGGCCTGCATCTGAGCTGCTCCCGCGACCAGGCGGCGTTGGTGGGTGGGTGCCCCGGAAGCGTCCCCAGGGCTGCATGCAGGTGGGCATTGGGGGGAGCGGCCATCACTGGCCTGCCAGGCCCTGTGGGGCTCCCCCCGCAGCACCGTAGCCAGGCGGGCGGGCGGGGACCGGACATTCCCTGGTGTTCAAACGTGCGGCGCCGCAGAGAGGCCCGACGCGGGCGCTCCCCCTCCTGAGACGTGAAGGTGCACCCAGACATGGCGCCTCCTCGCTGTCGCTGAGGGCGGGCTCAGTGGGGACAGCTGGCCGCCGGGCCCCACCCCCCCGTCGGCTCCCACGGCCCGCGCGCCACGGAAGGGTCTGCGTCTGCCTTTGCAGGTGACCCGCCGGGAGGTGGAGTGGCCATCGGTGCCCAGGTCCCGGCCGGGGAGGCCGAGTCTGCCTGGGGTCAGCTGGGAAGAGCTTTGTTTTCTGCCTCAGCCTGCCGGTCAGCCTCCCCCTGGCCGGGGCAGTGGGCTGGGCGCTGCCCGGCCCCCTCCATGGCCTGAGGCCAAGCAGGGGGACGCTGTGCAGGGAGGGCCACCCGCCCAGCCGGCCCAGCCTGCGAGCTGCCCCGTGGGCCCCGCCGGTCCCCCAGCCCAGCTCAGGTCCCGGCGGCCAGCGCAGCCCCCTTCCGCGGGCCCGCCCGACGACCTGGTGTGCGCAGCGGCCATCAGGCAGGGCGACCCGGCGACCCTGCGACCCAAGGGTGACGGCGGCGCTGGGTTGACTGTCCGGTGGAGGGAGCTCTCCTGACGCAGTCGCCTGGGGCGGCCGGCAGCACGTCCCTTGTCCCTTCAGGCGGAGCCGCGCTCCCAGCCTTGGGGACCAGCCGTCAGGGTGTAGTGCAAACGCACGGTCGTGAGAGCCGGGGGGCGTGTGTGTGATGCGCCTGCCGTTAGCAAAGTGGGACCCGGACGCCGGTCACAGGCAAGGCCCAGGCAGGCGGCCCCTGCTCGCGAGCCGCGCGCGCCCTGGGCCTCCGCCAGGCGCCCCTCGGGGCCCTGAGTGGCCGCCGCGGCGGAAGCACCCAGGCGGGGCTGTCACCTGCCACTCTCTCCGCGGCCTGTGCTGTGGTTTGGACGCCAGCAGTGCGGCCATCAAATGCTTGGGAGGCTGCCGCCCCACGAGGCCGGTTTCAGCTCGTGTGTCTATCGGGATCGTCCGGGGACAGGGAGGCCGGGCGTGCGCCGGGCATGCTGGCCGCGGGGGCCGGGCGTGCTGACCGCAGGGGCCGGCCTGGACCTCGCCCCCCGCACGGGCCCCAGTGCTTCCGGGCCGGCCGGGGACATCCCCTGACAAGGACAGCAATGGGAGCCACAGCAGGGGCTCTGGGGTTGGGGGTTGGCGCCCTAACCTCTCGGCAGAGGCCCGCAGGCCACAGGGCACGTGGCCTCCCCACGCCGGTCCCCGCAGTGCCCGGGACCACAACTCCGGGACTTGGGGCCTGTCCTTCTCAGGCAGGACCCCCACTTGCTTTTTAAAAAGATTGTTAGCGCACTCCCAGGGCCACAGCAGAACGGAGGAGCAGGCGGAGACTCCCCGTCGGCCCCCACACACGCACAGCGGCCCCCGCTGTCAGTGTCCCTGCAGCGGGGTGCCCCGCCGGACACGCCACCGTCGTCCAGGGCCCTGGTTGACGTCAGGCCCCTCGGTGCGTGTGCTCTGTGGTCGGCACAGACGGGCCGTGGCCTGTGCCCCCCATGACAGTCCCAGAGGCTTCCGGCCCCCAGGCCCTCCTGCTGGCTTTTGAACAGGGTGCCTTTAGCTGCCAAAGTCCGGCTGTCACAGCCGTGTGCACGTGGCCTGCGCCCCCACCTGCAAGCCAGCAGCCGGCCCGGCCTGAGGGTCTGCAGTGGTCTCCGGGGCGGAGTCCACAGTCGGTGGTTTGGGGTCAGCGGGAAGCCTGGCGTCCCTGTTGTGTGCTGGGGGGGTTCCCTGAGCGAGGGGCGCTGGCTCCACGGCCTGTCCGGGGTGTTGCTAGGGACGAGCAAGCGTGTGCGAGGTCAGGGCCGTGGAGGTGAGTGGTGGGCGCGTCAGGCAGCAGGCATGGCCTCTGAGTGAGAAGGCCCTTCCAGGTGGGACCTGCAGCTGGAGGGAGGGACACCGGCCTCTCTGGACTGGGCCGGCGCCGCTACGGATGCGCGGGCTGTGTCGGTCCTGGTGGGAACGCTCCTCTCCCCTCGAAGGCACATCCAGGACCCTGCCAGCCAGCGGTTGACGTGGAACAAGTCCCCAAAGAGTGTCCTCGTCATCAAGAAGATCCGGGACGCCAGCCTGCTGCAGCCCTTCAAGGAGCTCTGCGTGTACCTGCTGGAGGTGTGCGGGCGGGCGGTGGGTGGAACCCCCAACCCCCTCAACCCCTCCCCACTTCGCGCCAGCAGGACCCTGCCGTGGGTGTTGGGGCGTCACAGGGAGGCCCCGGGCCAGCCTGCTGCCCGGTCTCCAGGTGTGTGGCGCAGAGCTGGCGAGGTCGGGGGCCCCTGTGCCGGGAGGGCCGCCGGCAGCGGCAGCCCAGACCCAGGACCCGAGCTCTCCTCCCGGTTGTGCTGGAGCCGCTGGGCCGGGCCCCGCGGTGGGGCTGATGCACCCGTCTGTCTCCAGGAGAAGAGCATGGTTGTGTATGTGGAGAAGAAGGTTCTAGAAGACCCCGCCATCGTGGCTGACGACGACTTTGGGCCAGTGAAGAAGAAGTTCTGCACCTTCCGAGAAGGCGAGCGCCTGGGTCCTGAGCCCTCGGGAGCGCCCGGCGCTCTGGGCCCGTCAGGGCGGCCTGACGGCCTCTCTCGCTCTGCCTTCTAGACTATGATGACATTTCCAACCAGATCGATTTCATCGTCTGCCTGGGGGGCGATGGGACCCTGCTCTACGCCTCCTCGCTCTTCCAGGTGGGGCTCCGGCTGCGCGCAGCGTGTGGACCGGACACGGGTTGGCGGGCGGCCTGGCGCGGGACATGCTCGTCGGGTGCTCTGAGCTGGGGTGGCAGCAGCACCTGCGGCCCCGCTGGGGCGCCGGGGACTGGGGGGGCGGGCCAGAGGGCGGGACTCTGCACAGGGGCACGGGGGGCTGTCCCGAGCCCGGCAGGGCCCCTGCGAGGGGGCGAGGTCAGGCGTGGGGGCACCGGAGAGGGCCTGGGGGTGGGCAGGGCTGGCCTCCCTGCCACTCCTGGCCTTGCTGACCTCAGCGTCACGTCACAGCCGCCCGGCCCCTCCCCCGCCAGGCCCTGGCCCGGGGGCGCCTGTGGCCGGGCGGCCTGTGGGAGGACCGGCCGCTGAGCCCCGCGCTGTCGGCTTGCAGGGCAGCGTGCCTCCGGTCATGGCCTTCCACCTGGGCTCCCTGGGCTTTCTGACCCCCTTCACCTTCGAGAACTTTCAGGCCCAAGTTGCGCAGGTGATCCAGGGTGAGTCGGAGCGTCTGGGGTCCGCGAGCCGCTCCGGACCCGGCCGTGCTGTCTCCCTTGGTTTGGTGGTGGTGGTGGTGCTGGTGGCGGCTTTTGCTCGGTCCCTCCACGCGGTCCCCCAACCCCTCACCCCCACCCAAGGTTTTGGGTTTTTTTAATGACGTGCGGAGCAACGTTTGAGTTTTTCAAGGTTTGGAGATTTCCAAGTTTTGATTGGTCCAAACGTTTTTCTTAACACTGAGAAGCTCAAGCAGGTCACAGGTGTTGAGTAGCAGGGAATTAACTGTCATAGAACACAAGGGTGTTGCTCTTGCTTTGGGAGAAGAAAGGCTGGTCCCCGAGGTGGCGGTGGGGGGTGGGGCAGGGGAGCCCTTAGTGACCAGCCTGTGCCCCCAGGGAACGCAGCTGTTGTTCTCCGGAGCCGGCTGAAGGTCAAGGTCGTGAAGGAGCTCAGAGGGAAGAAGATCTCCACCGCCAACGGGGTCAGTGATGGCGGCGTGCTGGCTGCGGACCGGGACCCGGAGGTCGGGAAGCAGGTCATGCAGTACCAGGTGCGTGGACACGTCCCCCCGCAGGTCCCCCGCCCGGCCCTCCGCGGTGATGGCCTCCGCGTTGCAGGATGGGGCGTGCTCCGGTCGGACCCCAGGGAAGCACTGCCCGCCCCCAGGACCTTCCGGGCTGCCGCCCTCAGGGTGTGGCCTCCCCGCCCCCTAGGTCTTGAATGAGGTGGTGATCGACAGAGGCCCCTCCTCCTACCTGTCCAACGTGGACGTCTACCTGGACGGGCACCTCATCACCACCGTGCAGGGCGACGGTAGGTGGGCGTCGGGTCCGCCCTGGGCGCCCGGGAGCCTCGCGGGCGCTGCGAGGAGGGTGACGCTGCAGCCTGTCCCCCAGGTGTGATCGTCTCCACCCCGACGGGCAGCACGGCGTACGCGGCCGCGGCCGGCGCCTCCATGATCCACCCCAACGTGCCGGCCATCATGATCACGCCCATCTGCCCCCACTCGCTGTCCTTCCGGCCCATCGTGGTGCCCGCAGGGGTCGAGCTCAAGGTCAGAGCCGTGCTCTCCGCCTCTTCCAGTCCGACTCCCTGCCCGGGGCCCCGGCGCTGACTGTGGCTCTGGCCCGAGGTGGCCTTGTCCCCGGGCCGCCCGCAGGCGCGGGACCCCCTTGCCGAGTGCAGAAGGGCCTCCCTCCATCCGCCTCTGTCCTCTGGGCTCCTGCGCCGCGGGTTGTGGTGCCGAGGGGCCGTGCTGGGAGCTCGGCCGGACTCGCGCTCTGTTCGCACAGAGCAGGGCCGTCCACGTCGGTTGGGAACAGGGCAAGTGGCCCCGGCGGTCAAGGGCTGCGTCTGCGTCGAGCTCTCAGTGCCCGGGAGCCGGGCGCCTGGCCCTGCGGCTGCAGCCGTGGGCGGGCGGGTGTAGGAAACTCTGGGGGCCTGGGTGGCCGTCGGTCCTCTGTCCCCCAGGGTGGTTGTCAGAGAGGCACAGGCAACGCCCGCCCAGTCCAGAGGTGGCCCTGGCCTGCAGTGGGTCCTGTGGGCAGCCCTGCAGGGCCCCCTGGCTGGGCCGCCCCTTGGGCAGGGGCCCGCGGCGATCGGCCGCACACGGCGGCCCACACCCTCCTCCTCGGCCTCTTCAGATCATGCTGTCGCCAGAGGCAAGGAACACGGCCTGGGTGTCCCTGGACGGACGAAAGAGGCAGGAGATCCGCCACGGAGACAGGTGGGTGGGCTGCGGGCCGGAGTGGGGACGGGGCGTGTGCCGGCCTGCCGCCCTCATCCCCTGCTGCGGGTGACGTGTGGGCCCCGTGGGCCCAATGTGTCGCCAGGGGCCTGGGGGGCCCTTGTCTTGCACCGTCGTGTCCAGCACCCCGCGCCCGTCGGGGCGCCGCCCTGTCTTCTGCTGGTGGCGGCGGCAGCGGGTCCAGCTCTGCACTGGCCGCACCTGCCTGCGCCGTCCCCTTGGGGCCTCCTCCAGGGCTGGGTGAGCCAAGTGACCCTGTCCCGGGACCCACAGCAGCACCCCGGGCGCCCGGCCAGGCTGGGGGGCCAGGCCCGCGGCGGCTGGCGCCTCGCTGGTGCGGGCGGCCCCCTCGGGAAGGCGCTGGGCGGGCACGTGGGCTGGGGCCACGGCTCAGGGTGCCGCGTTGTGTCCCCAGCATCAGCATCACTACCTCGTGCTACCCGCTCCCCTCCATCTGCGTCCGGGACCCTGTGAGCGACTGGTTTGAGAGCCTGGCCCAGTGTCTGCACTGGAACGTGCGCAAGCGGCAGGCGCACTTCGCCGACGAGGAGGCGGAGGCGGAGGCGGAGGGCTAGTCGCGCGCCTGCTGCACATGCGTTGTCCACGGTCACGCACCCATGTGGGCATCAGCTGTCACGCCACTTCTTCTGTAGCCAGAGAAGGACCCCGGAATCTGCCTTTGTCGACCAGATCAGCTGTTTTTAATATTTTAAATCTGACCTTTTTTTGCATTTCTGAATAAGCCAAGAAAGCAACAGACGGAGCTCCGGAAGCCACGCCGCACGCCCGCGTGTCTGTCGGAGCTGCCGCCAGGGACCCCGAGCTGCCCGGGCACTTCTCAGCCCTTTTCAGGAAATGTCTGTGCATCCGTCTGTTGTGCCGAGAGGGGTCCAGCGTAACAGACAGTGGGTGGGTCCATCCTTTGGTGTTGAAATGAACGTCAGGCAGCCAACACCTCCCTCCAGCCACCCGCCTTCCCTCAGTCCCCACTTGGGGACGGCGGTGGAGAGCCCCCGGGAAGTGACTGCAGGCAGGCGGGCCCCTCCCTCCCACCTGGTCCCCAGGCCCTGACTTCCAGCCCCTGCTTTGGGGTGGCAGGTGCCGCAGAGCGTCATACCCGTGGCCTGTGAGCCTGGTGGTGGCCGGATGAGAGGTCAGCCCGCACACAGCCCCCCACAGGCTGGAAGGCATGTTCAATCCTGTGTGCGCCGTCCACGTTCTCTCCGATGCTCTGAAGTACTGTCCATGTTGTATCCTGCACGCGTGGACAATGATTTCAGACGGAGCTGTGTTCTGTGTGTGTGTGTTCTGTGTGCCACGTGTGGGACCATCTGTTCAGTGCGGCATGGCCGCCACGGGGGTGTCGGTTAGGAAGCCATGTCGCTTTGCAGCTGTCACAGCAGGTTGGGGTGAACCAGTTAGGGTGGAGGGGGTGGTGGCGTGTCATGGCTCCTGGGGTGTGAGGACAGCCAGTCACTCCGGCCGTCGCTGGGGACCCAGAGCTGGTGTGGCGTCCAGGGTTGGCGCCCAGGCCCAGCTTGCACGTGGCCCTGGCTCCGGCCTGTTCCAGCCGCTGATGGCTGAGTGGCGTGTCCTGCTGGGGGATTGGCTGAGCACCCTCCCTGGGCCGCAAGCCTGGGCGGCGGCGGGCAGGCTGTGCCCGCGTGGAGGGACACGCACCCCGACCCCGTGCTCGAGGGAAGGCCCGGGGGCCACGTGCGTGGTCGCCCTCGGCTGGGTCTCTGAGGAGCTGCCCGAGGCCGGAGCGCTGGGTCTGCGTCCATGTGTGCTGACGAAGTGCTCTTTCCCCTGCTCTCGTCCCTGTCAAGCGCCTCGGCGGGGCCTGGCCCTCGGCCCTGCGCGAGACACAGGGCTGAGCTCTCGCTGCCACCTGCATGCCCCCGGCCAGCCGGCTGCCTGCGGGCCAAGGGGGCCAAACCGAAGCCCCGGCTTCAGGGGCAGAGGTGTGGCCTTTGAAATCGGGTCACTTGTGGGGACAGAAAAGCAAGTGCTAGCCCAGGCCTGGAGCAGCACGGTGCTCGGGTGCGCGAGAGAGCTTCGGGTTTTTTCCAAGTAAATTCTTAATGTTTCATACTGTTAATATTCTTAAAATTTATTGAATGTTGTTGAAAGCCTTATTACTATTTTCAGATCCTTTCAATAAACAGACTTGTTTTACGAGTTGGGTTGAGTGACACCTTTATTTGGTTCTTTGTAAACAATCCAGCGACGGGGAGGTGGGCTGGGCCCTCCGGAGCCCAGGGGCACACATCACGCGCCCTCGGCACACGCGCGAGGTGGCGCCCTGCCCCGGCAGCGAGTCCTGGTGCCGGCGGGCCCAGGGCCAGGCAGGCGTCCTTCCCAGGGGGCTTGCAGCTGGGTGTCCTGCAGGGAGGAGCAGGGGCCGCAGGGCCCAGCGGGTGTCCAACGCTGAGGCGCTGAGGCGTCTCTGGGCCACTCCTTAAGTATACAAATGCTAACAAAGCTGAACAAAAAAGGTTTCAAGTAAATGTACGACCCTGTTGGGCCGCCTTCACAGCCACCCTGGGCAGGGACTGGCTCTGAAGCGAGTCCGAGCACCCCTCGGGGAAGGGCTGAGTCCTCTGGACCCCGGGCCCCGTCCACCCTCAGCCAGCTCCAGGCTTTGGGACTGGGGCCCCGGGACAGGCCCTGGGGCACCTGCTCCCCTGCCCGCTCCTTCCCCAGCCCCCCTGGGTGGGTGGGAGAGGTCTGCTGGCAAAGGACTTGGCCGAATCCCGCCGGTGGAGGCAGGTACCTGGTCAGTGTGCAGGACACCCCGTGTGGCCTGCTGACCGAAGCAGGTTCAGCAGGTGCGAGAGCGCCTGCTCGCGCCCAGGGCTTCGGGGGCCCAGAGGCCCAGCGTCGGGGGCTTCAGGCTCAGCCCTGTCCCCTCCCATGGCAGAATGCCCACTTTGAGAGCAGGGGCCAGATCCGGCAGGCGGCAGCCTCTTGATCCGGGGGGCTGGCTAAGGGGTGGGCAGGCGTCTGGCCCACAGGGTTGCTCTTCCCCACAAAGGCTGTTGTCCTCTGGGCCGAGACCTGCCAGGCATGGGGAGCCTATCAAAGAGGGGGGTACCCAGGGGCTCCCACACACCGAGGACAAGCCCCGATGAGGACTGTGAGGTAGTATATTTGTAAATACCTATTTCACTTTCGCTGCCTCCTTGGGAGGCTGTTCCTTTTCAGGCCCACAACCCTCCCTGCCTCTCGGCCAGCCCAGCCCCCTGGCAAGCCCGGGAAAGCCCCGCGCCAGCCCTTCTCCTGCGCACACTCGCCTTGTCGCTAAGAGAAGCACCGGACCGCCTCTGCGGCGTGTCCCAGTTGCCACCTCACCGGTCTTGCACTCTGGGGCCGTTAGGACCTGAAATGAGGGAGAACACAGTCCCTGCGACACCGGGGCTGTTGATCTGAGAGCGGACGACTAGGTACTCAGAACGCCCTGCAACTTAAAACGTGCATTGTTTACTTCTAGTATTTCCCTCTTAATATTTCCTGGCCTGGACGACCTCGGATAAGTGAAACCGTGGCAAGTGAAACCACGGATAACGGGCCATGACCGTAGGCTTTGTTTGGCCGGATTTGCTGTCCCTTGGAAGCAGCGCCTCGGGCCTAGAGGCAGGTGCCGCTGCCTACCGGCCGGGCCGCGGCGGCACGGGGCGCGCCGCGACAATGCGACGCCGTACGGTCGCCGTGCCCGCTGAGCTCCCCGGCGTGGGCGGGAAGCCCAGGAAACTGAGGAGCAGATTCCCGGGGGCGGAAAGGAGCTAGCGACAGCTTCCTATACGTCACTTCCTGTCCGGAGCAGCACTTCCGCCCGCAGCAGGCCCCGCCCCCAGGCTCGCGCAGAGAGGGGCGGAGGGGCTGTGGCCGCCCCACAGTGAGGCGCTGCGCGCCGGGCCCCGCCGCCCTCCCTCCCGCGGAAGGGGCCTCCCGAAGCTCCGCTCGGGTCGTGGGATCTGCTCCGGGCCTTCTCGGCGTCCGCGATAGGCGCTCCCACCCCGCGAGCCCCGCCCCAGGCAAGCCTCGGCCGGCGCGCGGCTCCGTTTGTTCCCGACGTCCGCACCTTAAATGCTGCGCGCCCTCATGGCCCCGACGTGGGGCCCGGGCGACCCCGGTCAGACAGACGCCGCGCCAACGGCATGACGAGTTCCTCGCGGGCCACGCCCCCCACGGCCCTCCGCGGAGGCCGATGGCCCGCCTCCCAGCCCGGCTGGCCGGGCGCGGAGAGCCCGAGGGCCGGGGTGGGCTCCTCGTGCGCAACTGCGAGCGGCCGAGCCGCCATCGATTCCCGCAGACGGAGGCCCAGCGCCTCCGGTGCGCACGGAGATCCCGCACTGGCTGTCGTTCCGCGGCCCCTCCGGCCGGTGGGTGGCGGGGCCCCCAGGATCCCTCAGCGGAGCCTCCTTGTTACGCGCGCTCGGGGCGGGGACGTCTTCCCGCTGGAGGGCGGGCCCCTGGCGCGCTTTCCGGGGTGATGGCGCCAACGAGGCCTCGGGGAGGCCTCGCGGGCTCCTGGAAGACGCCCCAGCCCAATAGCTTCCGGTTGCTCGTCGGGAGCAGATTCCGTGATACGCCCTTTCTGGGTCGTTTCTCTCAGGGTGGGTGGCCGGTGGACGCGGAAAACGCTGAATAAAACAAGTGACCACGGTTGCCTCCGGTGCGCCCATGGCACCCGGGGCCAAATCCAGCGCGCTGGCCGATTCCCAGCCACGGTGCTTCGGACCCGGCCTTTCCTCAGCGCCCCGGCCAGCCCGTCCCCGGGGCTCGTGCCCTCGCCGCGCCCCTCTCGCCCCGGGGCTGCCCCCTCCGTCGAGAGACCCTACACTTGCAGCCGAGTAGGGCTGTCCTTGGTTCTCCATCACGCCCTGTTCCGCCCTTTTTTAAAGCCTTCACCTCGGGGAGAAGCCGTCCCACTTCCAGCCCCCGCCTCGCAGGCCGCACCCGAGCCCACGGCCTGACCCTGGGGCGCCCGTGCGCCGGACGCGAGACCTCGGCTTTGGATGCCGAGGGCGCGCCTTGGAGTTGGGTGGCGGCGGTTCGCGCTGTTGCCGAGGCCGGCGGGGGACACAGGTGGGGCCGGAATAGGCCGCGGCGCCGGTGTGTGCGGGGGCGGGGCGGGGGGTAGGGGCACCGAGAGTCTGGCGCGGCACAGTCTCCGCAGTTAATGGCGTTTGAAACCCGGGCCCCGAGGTGCCCCGGAGGCGGCTATGGCGCTGGGGCAGGTGCAGCCCCTTCCTCCCGGGGCCCCAGGGCGCGGTCGCCCACGAACTCCGCGGTGATTGTCCTGCGCAGGGTTTTTAGAAAGACGACATTTAAATAATGGCCGAGCCCCGCGGAGGGCTGGGTCCAGCCGGTGGCTTCTCAGCCGGGTCGGTTAGCTCGCGGAGGCCCAGGGCGGCCGGTGCGGTCCAGTCATCGGTGACTTCTAACGGGGTTTGGGTTTGTGGGTGTCCAGCCCGCTGCCGCGCTGGCTCTCCGGAGGCTCCGGACACATCGCTCGCGGCTGCTCTAGAAAACAAGAGGCAGAGGTTTCGTTCAGCGACCTTTTTAATGTGTGTGGGGTTTGGTCTGGTTTGGTTTAATGGAGGCCGTGCACTTTGTGAAAATATTTAAACTTGCAGTTTGCAAGTAACATCTTAAAGCAGAAGGAAACTGTCAGGACCCATGACAAGGGACGTCAGGAGGGAACAGAAAGCTTTTACTTTAAGGGGATCCATTTTCAGTGTAGACATGAGAAAATGGAGGGAAGCCAAAGAACAAAATTGTAACAGATCGATCCCACCCCCCCGGAGCTGACCCGCTGGCCGCATGCAGCTGGCGGCCTGTGCATCTTCTGAACCGTGTGTCCTTCCTCAATCAGCGTGTTGTTCAAAGTTCCTGTACCTCTGCTCCCAACCTGTGACAGATCCGTCCTTGTCAATACTTGTAGGGCTACAACGTGTCACAGCGACGGCCAGCGTTTATTACAAGTTCCGTACTGGACCGTTGGAGAGTGCCCGGTCCCTCGGCCTTAAAAACAAAGCTGTTTGAATATCCTTATATGGACAAGCAGGGGCCTTTGCCGCGCTGCTTCTTTAGGATAAATTCCCAGAGGTGGACTTCCGGAATGACGGTGACAAGTCTAGGCTTTCAGCTCACAGTATCTAAAATGCCCTGCTTACGGTTGGTACCCGTCTAGATTTCTCACCTGGCGTTTGGGGACACCTTGAGCTGTTTGTTCTAGTACAGGGATCCTTCGCCTCGGGCCACGGGGCCCTGGAACTTAGGTGTCTGCAAAACGGGATGGGGGAAAAGTGGCATCTTTCTTTGCACTGAGCGGGAGCCCCTGGAACTTTTCTGCGGTGCTGAGCGTGCCATAGAGGCGCCGAGGCTGTGTCCCCGAGTTACGGCCCAGCCACCGTCCCCGCCGGTCCTGAGCCCTGCCCTGCGAGGCCTGGTGGAGGCAGGACCCGCTGGGGCCAGGTGCGGCCAGGCAGCACGTCGGCGTAGGGAAGGCGTCACAGACTTGCTTCTTGCGGCAACGCCTTGAGTGGACCCGGTCCCCGTTCAGTCCGCCACGCGTCCTGAGCACGGGTCCCCGCAGGACAAAGTTTTGGAGGGTAGCCCCGGGCCGGCCAAGGCCGCGCCTCAGCCCCTGCTCCACGCTGGGCGGAACGCTGGCGGCCCCGTTGGGTTAGTTCCTGTGTGAGTGCCGTCTGAGAGGGAGGGGACTCGGACCTTCCCCACCGGCCCGGGGGCTCGCCAGGGCCGCAGGGCCCCGCGCGTCCCGCCCGCCGCGCCCGTTCCTGGGCAGATCTCCGAGCCAGCTTTTCTCTGTCGGGTCAGAGCTGCCGACCTTCAGTGTTCGGCGGGACAGGGGTTGCTTCCCACTGAAAGAAGCTAGAATCTCGTAGGCCAGGAGCGAGCGGGCGTGGGACACGTGCCCGGCTGCGATTCCGGCTGGGGCCTGGGTACGCAGGACCCCCGGGGCCCGGGGCCACCGGACCCCCAGCTCCCCGCCGCCTGCACCTGGGGTGCCCAGTGCAGCTTCTGGGGGACTTCATTGCATCCCAGAGCGCCCACTGTTTGACTCTGCTCCGGGTTTAAGCTCAGGCTGGTGACCCGTGATAAACACTGACCTCGCGAGCTCAACCCTCGCCCGCGATGAAGAGGTGCGTGCACCCCCCGCTGTCTGTGTGTTCCTGCGGCCACTTGCGTGTACTGCTGTGCGGCACTGCGTTGTGTGACCCCCCCCCGCCCCCGTCTGCTGTGTGCCTGGGCAGGGCTTCCTGTGCCCGTGTTCACCTTTGTCAACCTTGAATATGAAATAACCAGCTATTCGACCAGCAGAATGACTTTATTTGGGAGGAGCAGAGGAGTTGTAACCCAGGTCAGGCAAACTGGCGAGCCCCAGGTCAGCCCAGGACGATGGAGTGCTGTTCTTTCTGGAGGAGAGCTGGGGAGGGTGGTTCTGAAGGCCGTTTCATCGGAGAGAGTTTGGGGTCGTGGTGGCTTCTCTTTGGCTGGGCTGTTGCTGGAGGAGGAGAAAGCCTTCCCCTGCTGGGATGGAAGGTGCCCGTGCTCCCCTCCTAGGGCTTTCGGAGGCTATTTGAGGGAGGTTTACTTTGACTCATTTTCGCATTTTCAAGGTAATGTTAAATTATTTTCCAAAACGCTGGTACCTGTCTTGCGTCCACGGGCAGCATGAGAGTTCCTCCTGAGCCAGATCTGTCCAGCTGCGCTCGCTCTGGCCCGACTTCGTTTTTGCCGCCGAGGGAGGTGGTGTCATGAGGTGGTTCACCTTCCCTTTCCCTGGTTACTGAGAGGTCCAGTGCCCGCCGCCGTGGTCCTGCCTCCTGGTGTTTGCGCCCTCTGGGACCCTTTCCTCTAAGGGGGGCTGGACCCTGGGACAGCCCTCTGCTGGATGCTGCGCGGCAAACGCGTGGGGGGCCGTTTCTGAGATGAGGTTACAAAGAGCTCAGCTTCCTCTGTGGGTGTTCCTGGCGCCAGGTCGTGCGTGGCCCCCAGGGAGGCCCCATCAGGAACTGAGCAGGGATGCCAGCTGCCACCGAGGGAGCTGAGCAACAGATCCCCCCGCCCCGCTGCAGCCTTCAAGTGACACCCGGCCTGTGCGACAGAGGGGACCTGAGCACAACCCCCCGGAAGACCGGCGCCCCCATCCCTGGTCCACAGAAACTGGGAGATCGTAAGTGGTTTTTGTTTTGAGCTGTGAAGTATGGTGGAATCTGTTAACTACATGGCAGTAGATAGTTAATATGCGCCCTGTATTTTTATTTTTATTGATTGATTTTAAAGAGAGAAACATCGATCTGTTGTTCCACTTACTCGTGCATTCACCTGCAACCTTGGCATATGGGGACGACGCTCCAGCCTGCCTCCCTCCCTCCCTTTTTTTTCTTATTTTCACCCAAGGATATATTTATCGATTTTAGACAGAGAAGAAGTGAGAGAGAGAGAGAGAAGGGAAAAAACCAAAACAAAACATCGCTTCCTTGCCCCTCGCACACTCGCTGACCAGGGATCGCAGCCACAGCCCGCGCGGCATGGGACAGCTCTCCAAACCACGGAGCCGCTGGCCCGGGCCCCACGCCCTTCGTCCTGCTGACTGGCCGTGAGGAGGCCTCTCCCGTGGCGGGTGTTTTTGCCCGTATTTCCTGTGGAGGTGTAGGGGTCGTTTATGTGTCCTGGATACTAATCGTTTGTCCCGTTGTACCTCTTCTCCCAGTGTGTCCCTTATTACGTGACTTGGTAATATACTTTGGTGACACGAAAGGTCTTGGCGTAGCCCGTGTCGTCTGCGGTGGTCGCGTTTCCTTCTGTGGCTGAGCGTTTGGGTCTGGACTCGGACCCCCTGTTGCCCCAGGCCAGCACGATGTTCTCTCGCGTTTTTCCCTGATCACAAAGCCTTGCGCCTGTGAGCTCCCCCAGCGCCTCTCCTGAGGGCCTGGTGGCGGCCGCCAATCGTCACCCTGTGTCTAGAATCGTGAGGTAAGGACCCAGGTTCTTTGCTGTCCAGCATGGACACTGTCCTGGCGCCCGCAGTGGACGGGCCTCGCCTCCTCAGGAACCCAGGACGTGCGGCTGCAGGTCAGAGCCTCTGTCCGCGCGGACCTGCCTCTGGGCCCTGTGTTCTGTCTGTCTGGTCGGTCTGTCTGCCTGCCTGTCTCCGGGCCAGTGTGTCACGACCTGCCCGAGTCCTCGGTGTCCGTTGCCCCGGGGGAAGCGGCCCTGCTCTCTGCCCTTGCACCCACCTCCCCTCTGTCCTCAGTGCACGCCTGGGGGGCTTAGAGACTAAGTGCCTGTTACTGCTCAGCCTCCGCCTGGCAGTTTGAGCTCCTGCGGGGACTCCTGCCTGAGCAGGCGGCCGGGAGGGTCGCCACGGTCTCCTGGGTCCCCCGGCTCGGCGCCGCTCGCTTCGAACCGTGAGGAAGGGCTGTCTCCGCTCCCGCTCGCGAGCATGGTTGGCCGCGGCCGGGGGTCCCTGTTCGAGTCCGGGGCTCTGGTTCTTTGCTGCCGGTGGCTGCTCTCGCTCGCACTGGCCCTGGGCCGTGCCGGAGACCTGCCGGCCGCCCGCTGCTGCGCTGGGGGCGGCCCCCGTCGCTCCCTGAGCCCGCCCTTCTCTTTCTGGGCTGCTCGTTCCCCAGCCCGAGAATGGGTCACGTCTGCGAGGAGCCTGGAGCCTTGATGTGCAGAACGACAGCGAGGGACCAAGGTCAGGGCGGCACCTGCGCCCCCGGCTGTCAGGGTGTCACGGCCTCCAGGTCCCCTTAGTGGGCAGAGCTGTGGGGTGGACGCAGGAATGGCTGTGCTGTGCACACGCGTGTGTATAGACAGACATAGACACATAGACATACACCTCCATTAATCCGTCCATCTGCCCATTTGTCCATCTGCCTGTCCGCCCATCCACTCATCCCTGTATCCACCCGCCCGTCTGTCCGTCCGTCCAGCCGTCCCATCTTTCCATCCTTTCATCCAAACCCAGGAGCTCTAGTGCCTCCGTTCAGCCCTGCAGCGCAGGAGCTCCTCTGGGCTGGCTCCGCTCACATCCTTCCTGCCCGCAGCCGCGGCAGGAAACCGCGCTCCGCGGAGCTACAATGTATCTACCGGTTTGCTCTGCAGCGTTCCTGAGCCAGCCCTGGAGGCCGCCTCGGCCCAGTTCCTTCCTCTCTGCTCTGAGCGCGTGGCTTCTGAGACCCCGTCCGCCCTCCTGAGGTTGGCTCTTTCCCTCCTCCGGTGTCACTGTTCATCTCCGGCTTTGTGGTTTCCTTCGTATACTTCCTCTTGGGCTCGTAGGTTGCACTTTAGAAATGTTCGTTTCCAGAGATTTTATTGATTTAACTATTTGTGAGATGATGGGGACTTGTGTTTTTATTTTTTGTAAGCTGAGAGACCTTTAACCTTTACTTTTATAAGCTTTCTAAGCATTTATTTTTAGAGAGCGCAGAAGGGAGGGAGAAAGAGAGGGAGAGAAACACTGATGTGTGAGAAACATAGATTTGTTGTTTTCCACATGTTCTCAACCGCGGGGCCCGGCCGCCGCCCAGCATGTGCCCTGGATGGCGTTCGCAGGCCGCGCGCAGCCCGCGGAGCCCCGCCCGCCAGGGCCCGTTTGGGTTTTTAAGCACGCGGAGCACTGATGTGGTTTCATCACCATTTAAAAAGCAGCGTCCCAGGGCTGTGGCCGCCCGCACCCCCACCCCGAGCCTGTCTCTCACTGACTTCTGCTCAGTGCCTCTCTGAGCCCGGGGTCAGGTGGGGGGCGTGAACTTCCGCGGGGAGCAAGCACTGCGGTCCCTTTCCTGTCCCAAGGGCCTCCGCACGGGCCTCTCTCTGCGGCAGGCGGTCCCAGAGCTCCCGCTCTCCGTCCGACCTCGGTGTGTCGCTCCTTGACCTCGGTCAGCAGTCGGCCTTCCCCGCCTTCCCCTTCTGGAACGTTCATTCTTATTATTTTCTGCACACTTCTGTTTTTGCCTCTTTACTACTTTAATTCCACTGTCTATGCTGGGTTCCAAATAATTCCCTCAGGTATTTTTTCGAATGCAAAAACTCTTTATTAAGCTCTGTCTTTTCTATTTCACCCATCAATTGACTTGTTTTATTAATTTAAAACTCACGCTTTTGAGAAGAGTTGCCCTGGGTTTGCCTGTGCAGCCTTCTCGCCCTGTCCCTGAGCGCAGTCTCCCGGGCACGTGACCTGGGCGGCCGGCCCCTGCTGACGCCCCCTCGAGTGCCTCTGCCGGCCGCTGCCCCGTCTGGGACCCCGCGCGGGTGAGAGGCCGCGTCTCCCGAGTGCCCTCCAGTTCTGAACCCGAGCAACCAGCGGGCTGGTGGATGCGTCTGGCATTTTCTCACGGAGGCTTCAGGTCGGGGGAAGGTGACGCCTCTGCCTCGTTTCTGGGGGTTTCTGCGTAGGGCGTGGGTCGGGGGCGCCTGCCAGTTTCTCGAGGGTGAAGCTCTAGCCCTTTGTAACTAGGTCGCCGACACCTCGCAGGGCCGGTGGGTGAGCCGCCTCCCAGGTTCAGCCAGCACTTATACGCGTTTCCTTTCCAGACTCCCCACCCCGGTCCCTTTCGCCCCTGAACACTCTGCTGCTTATCGGAGTTTTGCCTCTGTCCCTGGTGATCTGTGATCTCTGGCCCTTGTCCCTCGCTGTTCACCTGCAAACGGGCGGGGCCCCTGTGGGGTGAGGCCCAGAGGCCCGGGGCTGTTCTGTTCCTGCCCTCCTGCCCTCAGGGCAAAGCCGGAGGCCCCTGAGGAGCGTCTGGCTGGCTGGCTGGCTGCTGCTTCCCCGCGGCTGGTTTCCCAGGGCCCTTTCTGGTGGTTTTCTCAGTAGCGTCTCCCAGGCAGGGGCTGTGCCGAGGCCCCTGCCCCTTTGCTTCCCGGTCTGATTCCGACCTTTGCTCCGCGGGCACTGGTTGACCAGAGGCCTGGAGGCTGCGCAGCTCCCACTCTGTCCTTTGCCGTTTCATTTTCGGCCGAGAGGGGCCCTCTGGGACCCAGGCTCCCCCCCAACCCCCGACTCCGGCTCTGGCCCGGCAGTTTCTGCTGAAGGAAGCAAAACAACAGGCACAGTTTGGTGTCTCGTCAGGAAGGAGCAAGGTGACCAACGTCCACTTATTCTTTAAGCCATTCCGAGCCCTGACTGCAACCCCAGAGGCATGTGGGCGCAGACAGAAGCCATGCGGACTTGGGGGCTTCTCTTCCCTTGGCTGCCTGGACAGAGCCACAGCCTGGGCTGGAGCGGGCGGCTGGCTCTTGGTGGAGGTTCAAGTGTCGTGCGAAGATTAGGGTGGAGGGCGGGCGCCTGTGCTGGGCTTGCTGGGCCTGCTCTGGACGCAGGGCGGGGGCCGGGGGGCTGGTCCCTGTGGGACCGTGCCTGGGGTCCCCAGCACCTGCGGGGCTCCACTCGGGAAACCCAACGGCTGCCCTTGCACAGGGTGGAGGGGACATGCAGCCCCACTGCTGCTGGGCCCGGGGCAGCGCCCACCGCGGGGGAGGGCTCTGGGCGCCCACAGGTCCAGGCGTGGGGCACGCAGGCAGGCGCAACCGGCCGAGAAGCGCGCCCACCTCTCCTTCCCTCATCGCGAGTTGATCGGTTTGAAACTCAGGTCCGTTATGAAGTGGGGGTCGGGGGGCTGCGGTCCGAACAAGCTGCCAAGCGTGGGGTGGGGGGGCTGCGTGGGCTGCACGCTCTGTGACACACTCTCGCCGTGTCCCATCCTGCGACCCCTGGGACACGGTGACCGTGGGCTCCATTCCCTCTTTTTGGGGACACTCGATACTTTTTCTTGTAAACACCGTGGAGCATCTGGGCCCGTCCACCAGCATTTGCGGAGTGGCGCTGTCTGCTCCCGCCCGTGACGCCCACGGCCACGTGGGTCTCCTCTGCGTTGGCGTGTGTGCTCGGGCGGCTGCCCTGCGGCCCGTCTCCCTGCGGGCGGACGTGCGGGCTGTGCTTCCCTCGTGTTTTGCCACTGACAGAAAATGCCCCATCCAGCCCCGTCTGAAAGCGGACAGCGTTGCCACGGTGTCTGAAGGGCCCCAGCCCGGCCGGCCGGCGTCGCTGAGGGCGGCCCGGGCCAAGTGCTTGACTTCCTCTTCTTTCCTCGTTCGCAGTCACTCACAGTAACTCTTGCCAGTCACGCTGTGACCGTTTCACGCTGGGGGGGGTGTCGGCAGCACTGTGGGGGGCGCGCTGGGGCAGCTCCCTGCTCGGCCGCACTCGAGGGTCAGCGTGGAGCTGCCCGTGCCGACGCTCAGTCCACACAGCCTTCCCCACCCCCACTGCCTCCCCTGTGTGCGTCTCGGTGTCCCCACCTGCCACCGGGTCCGGCGCGGGAGCGTAGCCGCCGCTGCCAGGCACAGTAACATGCTGTGACAGGGTCCCCGAGGAGAGCGGCCCCGTGCAGTGGGGGCCTCGCAGTGAGGACGCGGCCTGATGGGAGGCTTTCCTGAGGGGCCAGGCTGGGCAGCCGCGGGAGGAGGAGCCTGGCCGGGGTCTCTAGGGCCGGGGGTCCTGGGGCCCCAGGGCAGCGGGGGGCAGGGGGGTGGGAGGGGGTCTCTGTCTGGCCCTCTTAGGGGAGGAGGGATGGGGCGTCTGGGCCGCGGAGGCATTTGTAGCCGGAGACAAGAACTTTCAGGGGTGTTGGAGGTCGCGTGAGTGACGTGTTTGCTTCCCCTCCCCCGCAGCCGTGCGCCCGCTCCTGGCTGGTGGCGCCCCCGCGGCGGGCCCCGCGCCCTGCCTTCCCCCTGAGGCCATCGGGCCGAGGTAAGGGCGCGGCCGCGGGGGCGCCATGGCAGCGCCCACCAAGTCCCCGGCCCCAGCAGACCTGGCCCCAGGCGCCGCGGAGCCGCCCCGCGGGAAGCTGCCCCTCGGCTGGGGCCCTCTGTTCGGCCACCGCAGCGAGAAGATCCTTTTTGCCGAGAGCGAGAGCGCCCCCGAGGAGAGCGTGCTGGCCGTCACCATCACCGAGACCACGGTCATCGAGTCGGACCTGGGCGTGTGGAGCTCGCGGGCTCTGCTCTACCTCGCGCTCTGGTTCTTCCTCAGCTTCTGCACCCTCTTCCTCAACAAGTACATCCTGTCGCTGCTGGAGGGCGAGCCCAGCATGCTGGGTGAGCGGGCGGCTCCGGCCGCGGGGGTCGGGGGGGACGGGGTGGCGGGGCCGCAGGCCGTGGCCCAGCCAGCCCCGCCCTGGGCCTCCTTTCCGCAGGCGCGGTGCAGATGCTCTCCACCACCTGCATCGGGTGCTTGAAGACCTTCGTCCCCTGCTGTTTGCATCAGCACAAAGCCCGGCTCTCCTACCCACCCAACTTCATCACAACCATGCTCTTCGTGGGCCTCATGAGGTGAGGGCCCGCGGCTCGGCGCGGGTCTGAGCTCTCTGCGCGCGCTCTTTAAAACGCCGGCTGGCCGACGTCAGCGCTGGGTGTCCGCATTAGGTGTTCGGGGTGGCCTCTCAAGGGTCCGCGCTTTAGAACAACACCGAGCGCACCTGGCGCTGTGCATCTGAAAGGCACGGCCGCTTGTCGGCTTCTTCCGGGAGCAGCTGCGAGACTCACTTGGTGACAGATGGTCCGAGAGCCCTGCATCTCCTTCTGGGACTGACGCTGCGGCCTCTGACCTCCCGGCACGTGCGGTGGCCGCTCACTGAAGGAAGGGCCAGGCCCAAGCCGGCACGGGATGGGGCGGGGGTGGGGGTCAGGTGTGCAGCCACCCGCTGACCCCTTGGAGCCTGGACTGACCGGCCCTGGTGCGCCTTTCGGCCTGTTTCCAGGTTTGCCACCGTGGTCCTGGGCCTGGTCAGCCTGAAGAACGTGGCGGTGTCGTTTGCCGAGACGGTGAAGAGCTCCGCCCCCATCTTCACCGTGATCCTCTCGCGGATGATCCTGGGGGAGTACACAGGTGAGCTGTCCTCGGGGGCCCCACGTGCCACTGCCCCCCACCCCGCGCCTGGCTGGGCGGGCCGCAGTCATGTGCTGAGGTCAGGGGCCGGACCAGGGAGGGTGTCGAGCAGGTAGCCTCGGTGCAGTGCCCGTCCCCAGGAGGGGAGCCGCCTCCCGAGTCCTTCCCGCGCCTGGTCACTCTGCCCTGCGTCTCACTGGCCCCCATCCAGTGAGGGGGGGCCTCATGCCCCAGTGCGAACTCCCCAGGGTCCTGCAAAATGGACGTGCGTCTGTATCCCCAGCCTTTGGCAGCCGCAGTCTGCCTGCAGCCGCACGACACACGCCTGCCTCTCTGGCCAGCCCTGTAGAAAGCGCCGTCCACTCCGGTTCCACCGCGGGGGCCGACGGCCGCCCCTTTTATCTAAAGGGCATGTTTGCCTCGGTGCGGGACAGGCGGGGCCTTAGAGTAGGGCAGACGCCTGCCTGGGAGCGGAGGGGCCGCCGTGGGGACACGGGCACAGCGGGACGCCCACGGCCGGGCTCTCCTGCCGGCACCACGGCCAGACCACAGCCTGCGCTGGTCCACGCGGCCCGGAGCAGACTTGCGTCCGCTGACTTCTGACGCTGCGGCCCAGCTTCCCGCTCGGGGGACAGGCTTGTCACAGACCAGCTGTCTTGCCAGGAACAGTTTTTTGCAACAAGAACTCTGTTGGGAGGCCCCAGCGAGCAGCCGAGGTGCCAGGACCTGAGGAGCATAGGTGTCAGCGCCGAGGGCCGCCTGCCATCTGTGAGCAGCGGCTGGGCCTGGGCCGGGCAGCCTCGCAGGGGCCGGGTGGCAGCCGCCCCCGACCCTGGCCTGCGCCCCGCACCCCGAGCAGGCCCCTCCCGGAGGGGGCGCAGGCGGCGGGCTGTGTGTCTCAGTGCCCGCTGTGGCGTCCGTCAGCAGCGCAGAGGCCCAGGCGGCAGTGGGAACCAAGGGCGGGAGCAGGTCCCGCCCCAGGGCTCCCTCCTGAAGTGCTCGGCCCGCCCACCCCCGGGGCCCAGGGGTCCTCTGGCTGGCGGGCCGCTGCCCAAGATCTCAAGTTGCGCTCTGGGCTTCACTGCCGTGGCACAAGGACGTAACTAGTCCTATGAGGCTACGTGGGGCACCTGAGAACAAAGGTTCCTTATCGCTAAACACGAAAGGCTCAGCCCCTCGTCCACACTGAGCTTCAGAATGAACTGGCTGCCGCTTCTGAGAGCAGAGCAGAGGCGGCCACGTCGCTGGTGCCTTTCCCCAGGAATGCGACCCCCCACCCAGCAGCGTGTTCACTGTTCGCATCAAGGTGCCCGAGGTTTTGGAATAAAACAGGAACGGAGGCCTTGTGGGTGCGTGAGGAGGCCACCCTACAGCAGACGTCAGCTCACGTCCCGCCCCCAAGTCCCACTGCGCAGTGGGATGGCCCGGAGCAGTCTCACCCCGTCGTCTTCGGCCAACCAAGACGCGTGGGACCCGGGTGTCCCCCAGACCCAGCAGAGCTCATCGCGGGGGGCAGCTTGGGGGGCACTTTCACCCCTCAGCCTCCCTCCAGCACAGGGAGGCCAACATGCGTCGACTCTGGGTTAAGGCAAACGTCCGCACTGCCCTCAGGACGAGGAAGCAGCTGTGGACAGGCGTCTGCGCTGGACGGACTGGTCACGGCCAGGCCCCTGTTTCCTCCTTTCAGGGCTGCTGGTCAACCTCTCCCTCGTCCCCGTCATGGGAGGCCTGGCGCTGTGCACCGCCACCGAGATGAGCTTCAACGTCCTGGGGTTCTCGGCTGCGCTGTCCACCAACATCATGGACTGGTGAGTCCTGGGCTGCGTGGGGACACACGGCGTGCGCGGGTGATGGGCGTTAAAATCCGGAGCGACTCGGAGTTCCTCCCCGCACTCGACGCTCAGCACGTCTGATGCCGCCTTTCCCAAGAGAGAAAGCAGTAGGTTCCCCAGTGGGGGAACTTTTTCTTAAAAAAAAAAAAGAAAAACAAAAACAAACCCCACGATCTGATGACACGCGATCTGGGACCCAACAACACCCACGCGGGCACGGCCGGTGGACAGGGTGCAGTGCGGCAGGGTGCGCGCCGAGCTGAGTGCCGGCGAAGCCCGCCGCTCGCCCCCTGAGGCCTCTCATCCAGGGTGGCGCGTCGTGCCCAGGTTCATCCTGGGTATAAGAAACACGGGACCACCACCGGGGGTCAGAGTTCATCGCTAGCGTCACCACCAAAGTCAAACAGCTCAGCCTGAGGCTTTGCATAGTCCCTGCCACGCAAGAATACAGCCCCTCTAATCCCGTCTCTAACACTTGGCAGCGTCACCCTCTGCCCCGTGGGTCCTAGATGTGCGGCCCGGCCACATCGAGTCCAGCACGCCCTGCACGAGCGCGCGCTGGGAGCCCCGCCTCCCCTTCCGGCCACCAGGGCGCAGGGAGCCTGGTGCAGGGAGCCTGGTGCGAAAGCGGCAGGGCCTCCTGCAGCTGCGGACGGGAGTCGGGCCCGGGCTGCGGGGAGGCTCCTTCCCAGGCGGGGCTGTCCCTGCCTCCGAGAGGGCAGTTCCCAGGTCTGTGGGCGGCACTTTCTGGGATGTTGTCCTCGCCTGTGTTTCTGCATTAAAATGAGACAAAACAGCCCACGGAGTCACTCAGAGCAGCCCTGTTGGTTCCTGGGGACAAGGACACTGGCCGGCTTTCCCTCTGGCCGCGTGTGTGTCTCCCGCATCGCCTGCCCGTCTGGGGTTGCCCGGGGCCTTCATGCAGCCCTGGTCCGGGGACAAGCCCCGCGTGTAGAGCGTCCAGCACGCGGCCGTCACCGAGTGAGGGGACCCTTGGTTCCCAGTGGGGTTCTGTGCGGCGCCTCAGGCCGGGACGTCGGGGTCCTCAGACACCTCGGGCACATCGCTCGGCCTCCGAGTGCCTCCGTTCACCCACCGTGTGCGGGGCAGGCTTGGTGCACGCGGAGGCGAGGAGACGCCCAGGAAGCCCAACCCCGCGCCCCCACGTGGCCCGGCTCACCGTGGCGCCCGTGCCCGTCCCCGCGCGCCGCCATCACAGGCTCCGCTCAGGATGGGCGCCGACACCTCGTCTGTTGGCGGTTTCGTGCTGACTCCCGCGGGGAGGATAACCTCTGCTTCTCTCTATTCCAGTTTGCAGAACGTTTTCTCAAAAAAGCTGCTCAGCGGGGACAAGTACAGGTTCTCGTAAGTATCTCGGCTCCCGGGGCCACGCGGGCCCTGCCCCTGCCTGGGCTCCCGGGCTCCTGACGCCTCTCGTGCTTCGGCTTCGGTGGCACCCTGTTCAGACGTGGGGAAGAACCCCATTCTGCCTGTGGGGGCCCTCGGCCGTGCGGGTCAGCGCGGGCACCTGGCCCTGCTCGTCACCCGGGGGAACCGACGGCTGGTCCCCCGGGCGCGGCGCTCGCGCTTCGGGCCGAGGCTCAGGCCGCCCCGTCCCCGCAGGGCAGCCGAGCTGCAGTTCTACACGAGTGCCGCGGCCGTGGCCCTGCTGGTCCCCGCCTGGGTTTTCTTCATGGTGAGTCGAGGCGCGTGCACTCCCTGGGGGCGGGGCGCCTCCCCCTCCAGGGCCTGTGGGTGGCTCGGAGGCCAGGCCTGGGGCGGGTCTTGGAGGTGCGGGTGCGGATCCCTAGCTGTGGGAGTTTCCTGCAGTTTTCAGGTGGGGGATTTTAGGCTTGCTTATTTTTTAGGATGATTTTTATTCATTTGTTTATTTTAGAGAGGGGGAAGGGAGAGAGAGAGAGGGAGGGAAACACCCGTCTGTTGCCTCGTCAGCACCCGGGTCGGGGCAGAACCCGCAACCCCGGCCTGTGCCCTGACTGGGAATTGAGCCCGTGACCTTTTGGGCTGCGGGTCAACGCCAAGCCCACTGAGTCACACGAGCCAGGGCTGGGCTTTTTCCTTCTAAGATAAGCAGGCCTGCCACAGGACGGTCAGTGGGGCGGGAGGGGTCAGACGGGAGACCGTGTGCCACCCCGCCCCTCGGCGCCTCCCTGGCGTCCGCGTGGTCAGAACCTGGCAGACGAGCCTGCGCGCGGGGCGGTTCCCCGAGTCCTGTGAAGCCCTGTATGCACAGCTGTGGGGCTGGGTGGCGCAGTCCCCGCGTCACACCCACCTGTGGCTCCGCCCTCACCCATCACCACCCCCTGACGGCCGCTTTCACCATAACGTGTGCGGGACAGGGGCCTTCTCCCGCCCGCCTCTCCCGCCCCGTCTCCCGTCCCGCTGTCAGCAGGCGGTTCTGTGGATGCGCTGTCGGAGCTGGAGGCATTGCCCGGGAGAGACGCGGCTCTGCGGTTTTACCGTGGCCACCCCCGTGAGGTGGCTGCCCACCGCGTTCCCCTTGTGTAGCCGTCACCACCGCTCCCTCCAGAGCTTTCCATCTTCTTGAACTGGACCTCTGTCCCCATTAAAGCCCCCCCGCACCCCACCCCCTGCACCGCCATCTGTTCTCTGTCTCCGCGGGTCTGACCCCTCTGGGGACCTCCCGTGGTGGAGTCGCACGATCCCTGTCCTTCGGTGTCTGGCTCACACCACTCAGCCTGATGTCCCCCAGGTCGCCCCGCGTTGAGCGCGTGTCAGAGCTTCGTTCCTTTTTAAGGCTGAGTGACGTTCCCTTGTTTGTGTATGTGAGAGAGCGCGAGCCATTTTGGTGACATTTTGTGTGTCCGTTCTTCCACCCGTGGACACAGGTTGCGTCTGTGGCTGGCTGCTGTGAGTGACGCTGCTGTGAATGTGGGGGTGTGCGTACCTGTTGGAGTCTCTGCTGTCACTCCTTTTGGGGGCACGGCCCGGAGTGGAGTTGCCGGATCCCGTAGGAGCTCGATGTTTACATTTCTGAGGAGCAGTGAGGCCGCTCTCCGCAGCGGCCGCCCCGTTCCGCTCCCCCCGCCGCAGTGCCCAGGGCTCCAGCCCCCCGTCCTGGCCGGCACGTGCTTTCAGTGCTGCTTCGTCTGTTTCCTCCATGGCAGCCGTCCCAATGGGTGTGGGCTGGTGTCTCACTGTGGTCTGCGTGCGATTCTCTGCCAACCAGTGGCCTCGAGCGTCCAGTGGTGTGCATGCTGGCCGCGTGTGTGTGCGTGATTAAAATCTCGATCGACGCGGTTCGGCTGTCACCCTAGAAAGCTGTTTCCAGCATCCGCCGTTGGCCCAGAAGACAGGGCGTGTGTGACTCCGTCCTCCAGGGGCGAGGTGGGCGAGGGGGCGACCACAGAGCACCGTGCCTGTTCCCACGCAGGACCTGCCGGTGATCGGCAGGAGCGGGAAGAGCTTCAGCTACACGCAGGACGTCGTGCTGCTGCTGCTGATGGACGGCGTCCTGTTCCACCTCCAGAGCGTCACTGCGTACGCCCTCATGGGGAGGATCTCCCCTGTGACCTTCAGGTGAGACCGCGACGTCCCCGCAGGCCACGTGTGTCTCGGTTCTCTGCGGAGGGGACGTCGAGCCTTGTGTTTTTGTAAAAGATGTTTGTGGTTGCCAAGTGCTGTGGCCTGACGTGGCCACGTGTCGCGAGGACCAGGCCACTGGTACTGGTGCTGTCGGAAACACACGCGAAGCGTGTGCAAGAGCCTTTTAGGGACCGCCCCCAGGAAGCTTCGCACTGGAGTGGCCATGGTTCGCAGCGGCTGGGGTCTCGACGCTCGGCCAGCACGGCCCCAGCAGTGGGCGCTGCTGCCATCCCGGGACCTCCTCTCCACGCCAGGCCCGCTGGGCGCCTCACGGGCTGTGTGCCGTGGAAAACCAAACGCCTGGTTTTGCTGACTTTAACCCGTTTCGATTTGGGTAGCCACGTGGGAGCGTCGGCTCCGGAAACGCGAGGCGTGTGAGAGATCTGGTCGGCCGCCTCTCACTTACAGCCTGGTGCACGTAACGGAAGCACAGTGTCAGGGACAGGCAGGGATGAGCTGGCGTCACAGCCAGCCTAGAAACCCGAGTGACGTCGGCAGCTTTGGCCACGTCACGTTATTGGGTAAATCGACGGGCCTTTTCTTTAACTTCTGAACTGTCTGTCACTCAAATGGAACCGTTCGCAGCGTGAAGACAACAGCAGGGTCCGTGGATCCATGTGGCCCTTGAGCCTCATGGAGCCGCACCTGCAGCAGCCTCGGCGTCCCCAGGCCGTGCACGCGGCGGCCTCTGGGGGTCGCTCTCACTCGCTGCTTACTTCCCTGGCCCGAGTCAGCGCAGACCCGCGCCGGGCCGGGGCGGGCTGCGCGGACCCTGCGCGGGAGGCCTGCAGGGCTGCGGAGGGCCGCGGCGTCTCAGCTCCCCGGAGCTCGTGGCTGGTGCTGCTTCCTTCGTGCGTTCTTGTTTCCATCGGGGGCCGACAGTCACTCCCAGATATTCCTGATCTTTGTCTTTCAGAGATCGTTCCTGATGGGTGAGAAAAAGACAAAAAGCAGAAAACCAGTTCTTTTTAAGGAAATTTTTTTTGCTTTATTCATATTGCAAAAGCAACATGTACTCGTACAGAAAGTTTGGAAAAGACAGAGAAGCAGAGAACATAACGCTTAAATTCCCCTTTTCCCCGAGAGACATACCCTGTTGACATTTGGTGTGTTTGGCGGTGACTTCCCCTTGGTTGTGTTTCGGCGCTGCTGGCGCTGAACGGGTGGTGCCTGGGGGGTCGGGGTGGGAGGCTGCCTCCTCTCAGTTCAGGGGCCGGAAAGCGAGCGCCGGTTTGTGGGGTGTTGCCCCCTCTTCAGAGAGCGAGCTGGAGTAGTTCAGGGTAACGTGTCATAATGTCCACCGTTTACTTAAAAATATTTTAGCCAGAATAGGAAGCAAATGAGGCAAAGTGTTAAATTTTTTGAGATTTTATTTATTTTTAGAGACTGGGAGAGAGACATTGCTCAGTTACCTCTCGCGTGCCCCCTGCTGGGAGCCTGGCCCACAACCCAGGCCTGTGCCCTGACTGGGACTCAAGACTGGTTTTGGGTCACAGGCTGGCGCTCAGTCCACGGAGCCACAGCAGCCGGGGTGACAAGCGTTAATTATTAAGTCTAGACAGTGGGAGTGCGGCTGCTCAGCCCCTCCTTGGTTTGACATCGTTCCTAATAAAAAGTGCCACCACCTGAGAGGGAGGGCAAGCCGGGCTGGGGGCGCAGGGAGTCAGCGAGCAGCTGTCAGCGCTCCTGTCCTGGCCCCTCCCCGGAGCCCTGGGCGAGGGCCGGTGCCCAGGCTGTCGCCCCCTGTCTTGCAGTGTCGCCAGCACCGTGAAGCACGCCCTGTCCATCTGGCTCAGCATCATAGTTTTCGGCAACAAAGTCACCAGCCTGTCGGCCGTGGGCACCGTCCTGGTGACGGCCGGCGTCCTGCTCTACAACAAGGCCAAGCAGCACCAGCGGGACGCCATGCAGAGCCTCGCCTCGGCGGCCAGCCGGACGCCGGGGGCCAGCGCCGAGCCGCTGGCCCCCACGGAGCCCGGGCCGCACCACTGAGCTCCGGAGCCGTGGTGGGTGCCGGGCCCCGGGCACCGCGAGCATCTGTCCTCCTGACGGGCGCGGCCCTCCACACCCTGGCCTGCGCCCTGCCCCCGCCACAGCCCAGAGGGGTGGGGAAAGGCATGGGCAGCTCTAACTGCCCCTTTTAGGGGTTCCAGTCAAAACCAGCGGGACCTCAAAGGGTTCCCCAGACGTCCGCTTCCTGGGAGAGGCCAGAGCCAACTGTCGCTGAGCCATTGCCATGTAATGTGAAAACTGCCTCCCGCAGCCCCCTTGCCAGGAACGGGAGGGGTGCGGACCCGCCAGCCTCGCTGCGCACCATCTCCCACTGCGGTTCTGGTTCCTCCGTGGGCGACAGCCACAGAGACGACTGCAAAGCCACAGCTGGTCCAGGTGCCAACATGAGCCGTCCCCTGCTCGGTGTCGGAGGAGGGAACTCACCTGCCCAAGCCAGCCATCAGGCTGCCGAAGGCGCGTCCCGTGCCTCGGCCATTTGGGGAGACCTCTGTGCCAGGACAGTCCCCACCCCGGCCTGGGCACAGAGGCTATGGAGCCCGGCAGAGTGGGGCGGGGACACCCGGGGCGCAGAAGCAAGGGACCCCTGCTGCTGAGGGCCACGTGTGCGGCCCTGCCTTCCTGCCCTTGTCCCTGAGGTGTCTTCTCCCCGTCCTGGAGCTGCCCACACCTGCCACCACCTAGGGAAGAGTGACTCCAGGGAGGGAAAGGCCCCGCCCCCTGGAGTCCGTGAGGCGCCAGGCCCCCTCCTGCTCTGGGGCCTCCCCCAGCAGTGACATCTGCCTGCAGCGCGGAGCAAGGGCGGGAATGTGGGCGGGCGCTCCACAGGTCCCTGGGGCTCTGCCTGTCTTCCCGAAGCTGGACCCTCCTGAAGGAATGCGCAGGGGGCGGGCGTGGGGAAGAATGTGTGGGGTGTTTACAGTTTCCGTGACGCTGCATTCGAAACGACAGTGTAGTTTCCTACCGGGGGCACACAGGCACAGGGGCCCTGGGATTGTCAGGCAGCCACTCTCGGAACTGCCGCCTGGCTCAGCCTGGCTGTCCCCGCAGTGTTCAGACGACCGCGTGGGTGTCTGCACTCTGCGTTGTGCTGAGACTGCCAACCTGGTGGGATTTCTGATGGAGACCAGTGTGTCACCAGCCAGCCTTCCAGGGCCGCTCCTTCGAGAGCCCCTCTGACCAGCACGGTCCTGAGCCCTGGGGCTGGCCGGAGGCAGCCCTACCCGGCGAGCAGGTCTGGCCCCGGCCACCTGGACCCTGCTTGGGGGACGGAGACCTGACTGATGACAGGAGCCTGAGGCCCTCGCCATCCCGTCCAGTCCCCCGCCCTGTGGCTCAGGCTCTGGGCTCCTACAGCCAGGCCGCCGGCTTTCCTGTCAACGTGTCCACCGGAAAATACGGAAACAGCCTCCTTGGGAGGTCAGACCTCTTGGAAACAGCAATAATTGGGTCTCGTGAAGCTCAGCCTACTTGAAGAGTTTGCCATGATGATGATTTAAAATGAGGCCTTTTAAACAACAACCTTTTCATGAAGCTGACCCGTGGCCAGAGGACAGGCAGGCGTGGGGTTGCCTGCTTGACAAGCTCACTTTCACTGTGCGGGTGTTTCTTGTGTGACTCCCCAGACTTCCGGTCCCTTTCCTCCTCCTCTTCCCCCAAAACAAAAGTAAAACTAAGGGGGATGCGTTGGAGGTGGCCGGGGAGCGGGGAGGTGGCATTGGTCTGAGAGGACCGTGTGAGAGCTGCTCTGTGGGGCTCCCGCCAGCTCTGCGGTGCGGTGTGGCGTGGGCGGGGCTCGTGTGTGGCCGCCCTGGCGCGGGACACCCACATGGGCCTTCTCCCGGACTTCGTCATCGAGGTGTAATCAGACACACCCGCCTGTGTCCAAGTATTGTCAGGGATTTCCAGACCCCATGGCCCGTGACGTGCCCCACCCTCCACTCTTACCAGTGGCTTTCAGCCAGTGATTTTTGGAGTTTTTGGACCAGAAGCAAAATGAAGATTTTCCTAAATTATTAGTAAGTGAGGCAATTTCCTGCAAAGCTGCTTTTGAGACTTGCCTCGTCCCAGGCTGCGGCTGGCACGGCCCTTGCTCGGGGCTCACATTCCTTCCATTAGTCTTGTCTCGGCCCCAAGTCTCCCACTTCTCGGGCATTTCCAGACAGCCCTGCGTGGAGAGGCAGGGCGCACAGCCTCGCTCGGCCTTTTAACGGCTGTACAGATGAGACACACTTTCTCTTACCTTTGTCTAGTTTTTCTAGTGTGTTCCCTGCACCTTCTCGGGGGTGTGGGCACCAGCGTTGGAGTCGCGTGTCGTTACCTCCCCTGGGGGTTCCTGTGCCTGGCTGTCCGTGCCTTTTCGAACAAGCACTTGAGCCAAGCTCTGAGGCAGGTCATCTGCTCACGTCCATTGGTCACACCGGCCTCTGGCTTTCAGCTCTTCCCCTACTGGATGCCACAAAAAGCTGCTTGTTTTTGAATTCAAATAGTCACCATTTGTGCATCACAGCATGAAAGTCATCTGCCTTGGAGAGCTGAGAACACCCTTGCACAACCCAAAACGTGTATTTAATTTGAGGAAAAATAAGCGTGGTGAGCAGGAAAAAATGTGCTGCACAAAGAATGTCAGCCACGTGAAGCTGTGCTCAGAATACTTTCCCCCAGACCGGTGGTTTGGCGTCCTGCCGCGTTCTGGTCACTGAGACGGGCCGGTGTGGGTGGCAGGCGCACGTGGCTCTTTAATCTGCCCAAGTGATGTGCTTCCTCAGGCCTGAAAGTATTTTCACAGTTTCCCTGGGTTGGAAAAATTAAGGATGTTTCATCGCAGACAGATACCCTCTTCTGCTTTCGCCTTTGACCAACTTCATGCTAAGGGCTTTATTGTTTCCCGGAATATCTGCCCGTCCTGGTAGGGGCCTCTTAATTTTCTTAGTTTGTAAGTTCCAGTCTCCCAGTGAATCTGCCTGTTTTTCTCTGTCCCGGGTGAGGAGCCAAGAGCAGATGGGGGTCAGCTGTGTCCCGGGCAGCCGAGGCATAAAACTGTCAGCCTCGCTCGCCCAGGTTGTGAGTGATGGCCACGGGCCCTGTGCCCAGATGTCCAAACGGGGTTAGAAACTGGGAACTGGCCAAGTGTTTTGTTTGTCTGGGTTGTGGGGTGGGGTTGTTTTTTCCTTTTTTTTTTTTTCTTTTGGCCAGTTTTCATTTGGGGAAAGCGGGTGTTCAGCTGATTTGCTGTTTGTAGACTGTTCGCTGCTGTCCGAGTTGAGTCTGAATCAGTCGGAGGGGCTGCGGCCTCTGCCGGGGGGGGGGGGGGGGGGCGCAGTCAGGGTTTTCCCACCCTGGGAAACGAGGGTTCTATCAGTTACCCTCTGTTAATGCACCGGAGCCAGGTGATCTCTGCTTTGCTCCAATCAGAACCGTGGAGTGCAGGTCCGCGGCGTCCACAGTACTCTGTACTTCGTCCATGCCAGTGTCTGTGACTAGATCAGTACCTGATAGAAAATGGTTCTGTTAGGTAATTGAGTGTTCATTCGCTGTGGTAATAAGTGTATCCTGTGGGTGCCTCCTGTCCTTTTGTCTAAATAAAGCCATTGGCAGCCACTCTGTGACTTGTTCTGCAAAAGGAAAGCAAACGGTGGGTACTCGTTCTCTTCCTTGGTAATGCGTTTACGCTCCCCGAACGGCCAGCATCGCTTCTAGCGCGGCCGCCGGTTTTCGGGCGTGAGACGTGGCCGCCCGCGACGGCGAGCGCAACGAGGCTCCGGGGAAAGAAACCTCGGTTCGGGCCGTCCGAGTCCTGGGGACGGGGCCTGGGTCTGCGCAGCAGCGCTGCCTGCCTGGCTGTTCTTTTTTCAAAAGATTTTATTTATTTTAGACTCAGAGGGGAAAGGAGGTAGGAAGAGGGATGGAAACATCGATCGGCTGCCTCTCACAGGCGCCCAGCCGGGACGGAACCGCAGGGAATCGAACCGGCGGCCTCCCCCTAGGGGACGACGCTCAGACCACTGAGCCCCGCCGGGCGGGGCAGCCCAGCTTCCAAACGGAGCCGGGCGGCGGGTTCCGAGGTCCCCGCGCCGCGACCAGTCCCCGGCTGCCCATACTCGGTCCAGCTTGCGGGGTGGGGGCGGGGCGACACGCCCACCCGGCCTCGGGCCCCCCAGGGGCGTGTCATCACTGGGCGCCTATGCCGGAAGTGATGTACCACGCACGCGCCGGCACCGTTTCTTCTCGGCCGGAATCACAGCTGTGAGGTGTGCTTTACGTCATCACCCGGCGCCGACGCAGGAAGTAACGACGCTCCCGGCGCGCGCCCGGCGCTGTTTCTCCTCAGGCTCCGGGACCCGCGGCGGCGGCGGCGCTGGGGTGAGTAGCAGCTGGTTTGGCCGAACCCTCGAGCCGGGCCGGCGACACCCCCGCTCCCTCGTCTTGTGTCCCCCCGCATGGGACTCGGGGTCGAGCGGATGACGGACCCGACGCGGCCCGAGCCAACCGCTCCGCACCATCCGCGGCTGAGCGCGGCCGAGAGGCGGGAACTGGGGGCCGGGGCCCGTGGCGGAGACGCGCTCGCTGCGGGCCGGGAGTTGCGCGCGGCGCCCGCGGGCCGTGCGCTTGCGGATCGCGGGGCGGCGGGAGAGCCCTTCGCGGGGCCGGGGCGCCGGGACCGCGCCCCCGGGGCCCGCGCGCCGCGACGCAGCTTCGGTTCTCTCCGTTCGCAGTGTTCGAACTCCAATGGGTGATGAAAAGGACTCTTGGAAAGTGAAAACTTTAGATGAAATTCTTCAGGAAAAGAAACGCCGGAAGGAGCAAGAGGAGAAAGCAGAAATAAAGCGCTTAAAAAACGTAAGCCATGTTTTTGGAGTAACGGGTTTTCTTAAAGAGATTTAATTTCTTTGCCCTCGTTTTTCCATTAGAACAACGCTTCTTCGGTGACGTTCTTTTGTTCTTCCAAATGTCGCAGGTGAGCCCGGGCCCTATTCCAAAAATTAACAAAAGCGTTCAGATGCTTTGTTTCCGTCGGGGCCGGCGGCGACCCCGGGACGCCGAGTGCGGGCTGCGAGCCCTGCGCGCAGCGCCAGGTGCTTTGAACCCGCGCTCGTGGGGCCGACGCCTCTCGGGGCGGCGTTGGGAGCGCTGTTCGCGCAGCGGGGCTTTGCCCGGAGTCCCTGTGTCGCTCGCCGCTGCTCCCTTCGCGGGGAAACGCGCGCAGCGGCGCCTCGGCCGCGGAGGAGGGGCCCGTGGCGTTGGCAAGAGGCCTCCCCGGGTGGATCGAGGCGCCCCCGGGAGGTGCGCGCTGGGCCCCGCGTGTCGGATGCGCTTTAAGTCCCGCTTTGCCCGGAGGCGGCGCGCGGCCTCTCGGAGGCGCCGGGTGTCCGCCGCTCCTCTCAGGGTCGGGGTTGCAGCGAGTTCTCCTCTTAACGGTCGTGGCATCTGAACGGAAGTTCTGTGCGTGTTTCAGTGTGAACTTTTCCAACAAGCTTTTTTATGAAACTTAAAGTGCCCGGGGAAGCGAGGCTGGGGACCTCGGCAGGGGTTGCCTGCCAGGGAGTGACTCGCTGCTGGCCTCTCAGTCTGATGACAGGGACTCCAAGCGGGACTCCCTGGAGGAGGGGGAGCTGAGGGACCACCGCATGGAGATCACCATCCGGAACTCGCCCTACAGACGGGAGGACTCCATGGAGGACAGGTGAGGGCGGGCGCCGGCCGTGGTCCGGGGCCGCCTGGGGTGCGGGGGGAAGGCGGCGGTCAGGGTTGAGGGTCGCCGTGGGCATGGGCTTCTGTGCGGTGCCAGTGGTCCCCTGACCTCCTTCGTCCCGAAAAACGGAGAGTGCGCATTTCTCGTCTTCGCGGTCCGGCGTCCCTCGGGCCATCCCTTTACGTGGGCCTGGGCGTCGCCGCGCCGTGCACTTACAACCACCAGCAGAACGGCTGTCCAGGTTTCCTGCAGACCAGCCGGCGCCACGCACGGGCAGGCTTGCGCTGAGGGCCCCACGGAGGTCCCTGCGGCGCAGTCTCTCCTTCGGGAGTAAGTGACGGCAGCGGGGCTGGATGTCAAGGCAGAAGGGCATCGGTGTGAGTCCTCCCGAGGTTTCAGTCGTGTAGGTAGTTGAAGATACCGTTGAATCACCTTTTTAAGTCGTTTGGTTTGATTAAAATGGCGGACTTTTTATTAAACCTCTTTATCGAGATAGCGATCAACAGCACGTATTTGAAATGTGCGTTTCAATACAGTTTTACACACACAGACTATTACCACAGTCACAGTAACGACATGTCCATCACCCCTAAAGCTTCCGCCGGTGTTTTTATTCCACAGGCCGCACTGGCTTCTCACTCACACCTTAAACGCAGTCCGTGAACGATGGCTCCGATTTCGCTTCATTTGCAGCCTGAGCCCGCGTCCTCCTGCTGGAGAGGCCCTGCGCCGCGGTCTCACGCGCCCTGACGCTGCCGTGTCTCGTTGCAGAGCAGAGGAAGACGACGCTTTGGCCATCAAGCCACCCCAGCAGGTGTCGCGGAAGGAGAAGGCCCATCACAGGAAGGACGAGAAGAGGAAAGAGAAACGCAGGCATCGCAGTCACTCCGCGGAAGGGGGTACAGAAGCCTTTGTTTTCTTTTCATCGTGTCCACGTGTGGTCTGTGTCCTGGTTCTTAATCTTCTGTCTTCCCCACAAGTGGTTGAAAAAGAAGAGAGTAAAACTTGAGCTCAAAGCATAAACTTACTTTAAGTCATTCTGAATAGCTGTTTCATTTTTATTGCTTTTTTTGCTCTCATAACATTATTTTGGCGTAGTTTGCACTTAAAATTGTCGTAACTCCCAAGTGCAGAGGGAAAAAATGCCGTTCTACGCTAAATTGCTTTAACTGAAAATCTGGTGCCCAAAAAAGGCCAAATCATGGCATTGCTCTCAAGAGCGGCCGAGGGCGCTGGGGCCCAGTTTCCATCTGGTGGGAGCAGCGTGGCTTTGGCACACACAGCAGAAGCTCCCAGAGAGGAGCTGGGCTTTGTCCCCTGCTCTTTACGGGCGGCGATGCTGTGAGATCCATGAACGGAACATAATCGAATGAGGTGAAGGTACAATTCTCTTATTCAGTGAAAACTGCCTTATTTTTGTCCTTCTCGTAATTGAAGGCTTACTGCCTTAGAGTTTTATGTCTTTCTCTCTCATTATCGTAAAATCATGACTGTTTCTCCAAGTCACTAGTTAAGCCTGTGTCCTTTGCTGGATATTTTGGAGTCAAGCGTTTGCACGTCCGTTTCCCCGCATGACGCGCCCCCTCGCCCCCAGGCAAGCACGCGCGAGTGAAGGAGAAGGAGAGGGAGCACGAGCGCCGGAAGCGGCACCGGGAGGAGCAGGACAAGGCGCGCCGGGAGTGGGAGAGGCAGAAGCGGAGGGAGATGGCCAGAGAGCATTCCAGGAGGGAGAGGTGAGGGGCCGGGTTGTCGGGGGCTGCGATATGCTTGTGACGGCCAGCGTCCTGTCCGGGGCGGCAGCCTTGCACGCGCAACCCACGTGGTGCGGGAGGGGGTTCTCCTCGAGGGTTTTCACGGAGGACAGCGCTTTCACTGCGTTTGGACGACAGCGTCGTGTGTGAACTGAACGAGAGAAGGTAGTGAAGGGAACGGAGACGTGTGTCCGCCTGTTCCCAGTGGAGGCTGGTGGGGAGGCCCCTCAGGAGCCAGACTGTGCAGCGTCCTGAGCTGCGCCAGAGACCCTGCGCGCGTGTGTGCAGTGGGCCTGAGAGCTGGGTGCTGCGGCGGGGCGCGGGGAGCCTGAGACAGGACTCGGGCACGAGGCGCGGTGGCTCGCGCCAGACGGGGGACGGCGGAGAGGGAGAGAAAGGCAGCAGAGGGAGAGAAAGGCAGCGGCGGGAGGAAGGTACTTCCCAGGCCTGTCAGCCCGCGTCAGGTAAAGGGGAGGGGGCGGTGCCTCCCAGCTGGGCGCCGCAGGAGGGTGCGGGGCGCGCCCTGTGGCCGGAGGGACCCCGGTGCTGCGCTGCTCTCCGGCCGCGGCAGAGAGGGGCGGTCTGTGGGACAGCCGGCCTCGTGTTTGTGTGAGTGCCGGCGCAGCGTCGCGCTCGGGAGAAGCCTGTGTTGCAGGGGTTCCGCACCCCTTGGCTCAGCGCACGTTTTCGGGGTCTGTTCTAGGTGACCCAGGCCAGGGACATGAAGGAAACGCGGTGTCCAGGGTTCTCTGGGTCATGGCAGAAATAGTCTAGTTCTATTTAACAAATAAAAATGAAAAAGTAACAAAGGAAATCTCAGAGGCCTTGCGCACAGGCCTGGAGCTGGGACACCAGGCTTTGGGTCTGTGCTTTCAGGTGCTTCTTGGGCTCCCATCCCCAGGAGAGAGCGTCTGGTAGCCCCGGCTCTGTCCTCTCTGGCTCAGGTGATGGGTGCATGGACACAGGTGGATGCTAGGCCACTGCAGTGTGTGGAAGTCATTTGCAGAGAAAGCTTGGGAGGTGGCTGCTGTAAGGCGCTTACACTGCTGGCAGCCAGGGCTGCACTGAACAGGTATTTGAGGAAGGCGTGTGGGAAGAGTCCTGGTTCTCGCGTCGCCAAGGGCGTGGGAGAGGCTGGGCCCGCAGGCGAAGGTCCAAGGCCGCTGTGAGGCGCACCCACCCAAACAGCGTCCGGAGCGCGGCCGGCATGTGAAACGCCCGTGTCTGCCCTGCCGCGCTGAGTGTCCAGTGCGGGCTAACTGCGCCGCCGTGGGACCCCAGGGAAACCAGGCTTGAAAATAAAAAGGGACGTGGGGAACGAACAGCATTGGCCACACTCTGCAGGGAATACAGGTTCAGCCCAGCAGGTTAGGAAACAGTACCAACCAAGAGGAAAAATCAGAATCCAGAGTTGCTGTAATACTGTCTAAAATGTCCAATTTTCAATAAAAAGTCTTGAGATGTACAAAGAAATAAGAAAGTATAACTCCTGTTAAGGGGGGAAGAAGCACGAGTAGAAACTGAATGTCCGGATTTGGGAAAGGCTTGACTCTAGAAGAGACCTGGAAGCCAGGGACTCGAAGGCAGAGCCGTAGAAACTCTGTATTCTGGAGAACAGGAAGGAAAAAGATTGAAGGAAAGTGAACAGAGCCTGAAAGATCTGTAGGACAACATCCATGTGAGCCATGTGATAGCAGTCCCAGGAGAGAAGAGGGCAAGGGGCACAACGATATTTTCTGAAATAATGACTGAGCCCCAGCCAGGGTGGCTCACTTTGCTGGGCATCGTCCTGTAAACTGAAAGGTCGCAGGTCACTTGTCAGGCAGGGCACGTGCCTGGGTTGCGGGTTCATCTGGGAGACCGGTCGGAAGGCAACCAGTGTTTCTCTCTCACATCGATGTGTCTCTCCCTCTCTCCCTTCTCCCCTTCCTCTCTCACTAAAGTAAAAATTAAAAATTTAAAAAAAAAGTGACTGAAAACTTCCCAGATTTGATGGAAAAGGTCTACATATGCAAAAAGATCAACGAACCAGAAGTGTGGAAAGACAACATCACATCCTAGTCCATCTGGTAAAAGCCAAAGAGAAAAATCTCAAAAGGCAGTAAGAGAAAAACAGCCTTCGTGAAAGAGGAGCCTCGATCCTTGATGGCGGAGGCCGGAGGCGTGGAGCGGCAGAGTCCGACAGGAAAGCCTGTCGGCCGGGAATCGAATGTCAGGCGGAACTGTTCCTCCGAAGTGAGCCGGAAGCCACGGCATTCCCACGCAAGCGCACGCTGGTGGGATCTGCTCTCATCGAGCCCCGCCTTACGAGAAATACTTGGGACCTTCAGCCAAATGGAAGTGACACCAGACTGTCAAATCCATGGGAATAAAAGAATCACTGGAAATGGTAAAAGTGGGTTAACATGAAAGAACCTTTAAGTATGTTTTTTGTCATGTCTAAACGTCTCCAAAAAACACGGACTATAGAAAATAGTAACTGTGTCACTATGATGACGGATCCAAAACCATTCGTAGTTTCCACCAGAAGTCTTGTGTTGGCAGTTCCTTCCTTGGATGTCTGAGTGATCAGTCTTTAAAAAAAAAGAAAAAAGAAAAAAGAAAATAGTAACTGTGTAGACACTGTCACCGTGCAGGCTACAGAGAGGAACAGGGGAGGGTGCTGATTCTGTGTGTCATGGGTGTTAACTTAGAGTCGCTCTGATGGGATGCATGCCACGCCCCCTGGAGCAGACGTGGGCCATGCGAGCAGAAGTAGTAAGGCCTCCTGCTGAGGCACTTAGGCCCCAAACTGTTTGGAAGCAGGGGAACAAACAAAGACAGAAGACACGGAGAAGAAAGAGGAAAAAAACAAGTGCAGCCATACCCACGATTATATTAACAGTGAAGTGGTCTCTGTACCCCAAACGGGTGAGATTGTCAGAAAACGAGATCCGATTCTATGCCGCCTACAAGCAGAACACTCAGAGTCAGAGACAAAAACAGGCTGAGCATAAAAGGCTGGGAAAAGATGCGGCCTGCAAAGAGCAACCACAGAGCTTGAGTGGCCACACTCACATCAGACAAAGTGGATGTGGAGACCCACGCCAAACACGGAGAGCTTCGTCTTAAAAAGCTGAACATGTGAGGAAGACAGGACAGGTCAACACCCCCATGTGCTAAAAGAGTACAAGATGCGTGAAGCAAAGCACAACAGCTCATTACCGATGGACACGCCTGTAGTTAATCAGTTGAATGGGGGAGAATCAACAAGGTTCAGGGGAGCTTGGAAAGTGCTGTGAGCCAGTTCAGTCTGACGTGCTAGACGCCCCCCCCCCCACAGCTGCAGAATGCACTCGGGACTCTTGGGGCAGTGTGCTAGGCTGTACAACAAATCTGGAATTCAACAGAAAGGAACTGGGAAATCCCCAAGTGTTTGAAAATCCCACGGCCATTTCTGAGCAACGTGTGGCCCACAGAAGGCGTTATGGAAAGAGGGACTGCCCTGAAGTCAGTGAAAGCAAAAGCAGCATCAGAGCCCAGGGCGCAGCGCTTTGGCTTTGAGCACTGGCATCGGAAAGGGAAGGCGCCAGCTCAGGGGCCTAAGCTTCTGCCTCCAGAAACTAGACAAAGAAAAGGAACCAACCTGCAGCCGCAGAAGGCATGTCCAGAAGACTCAAAGCAGACAGCAGATTTGTGAAGGGGGCCACTGACCCCAGGAGGACGGGCAGGAAGAGCTCACTGGTGACAGAACCATTCGTTTTTAAAGTTTCTACTCACTGGTTTTATAGAGAGGAAGGCGGGCAGCCAGAAATATCGCTTTGTTGTTCCACTTGTTGATGCTGTTACTGGTTGGTTCTCAAGTGCGCTGGGACGGGGGTTCGCACCCACAGCCTCGGCGCCTCGGGGGCAGCACTCCAACCCCCTGGCTGACCTGGCCGGGTGGTGCTGGGAAGGTTTTAAAACTGGCTGTGGTAGTGGTTGCACAGTTGCACAAATTTGTGAAACACCAAATTTAGCGATTATGTTTTATACGTAAAGGGCACCACAGCTTTACTCTGAACTAGTGCAGATTTGCAGGCATCTGCAGAACAGCACCTAGGATCCTGTGCCCTCCATCCCGCCGCTCACGTAGGGACCGCGGCCGCCGTGGACCAGCATTGGTGCGGGACTGGCAACGACGCCCCAGGCCGCGGTGGCTCTCGTGTGTGCCCATGCGCGTCTCTGCGGGTATGCGATGGTACTTTCAGCGCGTGAGTGTGTGAGGTGGTGCTGGGCCTAACGGTAGGGCTACTGGAGTTACCTGCGGTCGGATGTCACTCAGGCCACCTTACGGTGCCACAGCCCTCCCACACCTCGGTCACCAGCGTTCCTGCACGGAAGCGGCCTTGACGCTGTTTCCCCACGCCCCCCACATTCCCCTGGAGCTGTGGAGATGGGCCCAGTGGGCAGGGCGGTGCAGCGGCCCTGGGCCGTGTGCCCAGGGGCCCTCAGGCTCGCAGGGCTGGAGGGCAGGCCCGTCCCGGCACCCGCGGGCTGGGGTTTCTGATGGGCCGGCTCCTCGCACCCGCTCTTCACTCTGTGCGCTCCTGGGGAGTAGCATCCTCAGGCGGGGCGTGAAAGTGCTCTGTGGGTTGAACAGCCAGAAAAGGCAATTTACAAATTTGAGGGGAAAGCCCTGGGGGTAAAAAAGACCTTTCTGTTTGGGGAAGACCTCTGAGGCGTGTGCTTGTTGCAGGGACCGCCTAGAGCAGCTGGAGAGGAAGCGGGAGCGGGAGCGCAAGCTGCGGGAGCAGCAGAAGGAGCAGCGGGAGCAGAAGGAGCGGGAGCGGCGCGCGGAGGAGCGGCGCAAGGAGCGGGAGGCGCGGCGGGAAGGTGCGTGGTGGGGAGGGGAGGCCGTGGCCCCCACGGTGGAGGCGGGGGCGGGTCTCCAGGAAGCCCCCGAGGCGGGGGGTGGGGGGCTGCACCCAAGGGCGTGCGGCCAGGGCCGCCCCGGGCCTGACGGCTGGGTCGGTGTCCTGTGCGCCCACTGCCCACAGGTGATGGGGCCCAGGCTTGAAGAGGCGGTTCCTGGCCGTCTTTCTGACCAATGGCGGTGGGTCCGGAGGGTCCCCCTGGGTCCTTGGGGTCAGCTCATGGCCCTCGGGCCGCAGCCCTCTTTCCTCGGCTTCTCGGCCTCTGCCCTGGGTCCTGGTGGCGGGCTTGCGTGTCTGTCCCGTGCACGCGTGGGCTGCCGCCCTTTGCCAGGTGCTGGCGAGAGGCGACGGGGCCCTGTTGGAGGAGGGCGCCGCCAGCGCTGTGCCCTGTTCTGTCCTGGCGCCAGTCTCTGCACATCACCGGACGATGCGAGAGGACTACAGCGATAAAGGGAAGGCCAGCCACTGGAGCCGCAGCCCGCCCCGGCCGCCCCGGGAGAGGCTCGAGCTGGGGGACGGCCGGAAGCCAGGTGAGGCCGGGCAGCGCCTGCACGGGCCGCTGAGGGGGGTTGTTGCTGGAGAATTTTTTAAATACTTGCCTCAATTCTCCTTTGGTGGTTCACTTCATAAGTGAAGGAAGAGAAGATGGAAGAGAGAGACCTGCTGTCTGACTTGCAAGATGTCAGTGACAACGAGAGGAAAACCAGCTCGGCCGAGTCCTCCTCAGGTAACCGCCCCCCCTGGCTGCACCCGGCTTCGCGGCCGAGCGGGGAGGGCCCGCGTGCTCACATCCCTCCGTCTGCTCCCGGAAGCGGAATCAGGGTCCGGCTCGGAGGAGGAGGAGGAGGAGGAGGAGGAGGAGGGGAGCAGCAGTGAGGAATCAGAGGAGGAGGAAGAAGAGGAGGAGGAGGAGGAAGAGGAAGAAGAGGAGACTGGGAGCAACTCCGAGGATGCGTCTGGACAGTCTGCTGGTGAGAGCGTGGGGCACAGGAGTGTGATTTTTTAGTCCTCTTTATTCCATTTATCTTACTATTGATTTTAGAGCAAAATACCCACGTGCTGTTCCATTCACGTGTGCGTTCATTGGCTCGTTCCTGCGTGCGCCTTCCCGGAGGTCGGACCTGCAGCCTTGGTGTGTGGGGACGATGCTCTCACCCTCTGAGCCGCCCGGCTGGGGCACGCACAGCGTATTTGGATATAATTTGGGAGCTACAGAAAAATAAGTGGAAGCCTGGTTTTAGAAAATTTACACATTGAAAGTGCCTTGCTACCTGAGACTCGCCTGAGACACCCGGAAGGAGCAGACCCCGGAGCGTGCGGGGGGCACCCCCAGCTCCGCGGCCGCTCGCAGACGCCCGCTCTCTCTTGCAGAGGAAGTGAGTGAGGAGGAGATGAGTGAAGACGAAGAGCGGGAGACGGAGAACCACATCCTCGTGGGTGAGGGGCCTCCCTGCAGCGGCGGGCGGTGCTCTCTGTCCCCAGGGCGCTGGCGCCCGGCAGAAGCCACGGGCGCACCTGTCCCGGCCGTGTCCCGGGACCGAGCCGGCCGGCTGGGACCTGGGCGTCACACCGAGCGCCACGCTGTGCCAGTGGAGTCCCCGCATCCCCCAGAGGGGGCCGTGCTAGCTGAATGCCACCCTGAGTTCCCCTCGGGCACCACCAGCCCCGGCCCGGCCTCGGTGTGAAAGGACGGTGAACAGCAACTCAGGTCGGACCCCGGGGCCACGGTCTGGCCCGGCTGGGCTGGCAGGCCCAGCGTCTGGCCTGCGCCTCGTGGTGGTCGTGGCCCAGCCGGCAGCACCGAGGCCCCTGGGGCCCTCTGGTCGGGTGGCAGCTCGCGTGGCGCTCTGGGGTTGCTGTCGTGTGGCTTTTTCATGTCCTTTGTGTCCGCGCCTCATCCCTGGTCCCGTAATCAGGTGTGATTTTGAAGTTCCAGAGTCACGATTTGACCGAGATTCGGGGGAAAGTGAGGAAGGGGAGGAAGAGGCAGGCGAGGCCACCCCGCAGAGCAGCGCCCTGACCGAAGGAGAGCTTGTGCCCGAGTCCCCAGCCCTGTCGCCCGTCGAGCTCAAGCAGGAGCTGCCCAAGTACTTGCCCGCCCTGCAGGTGAGGCACCCTCCACCCCCGCGGCCCCACTTGGCTGGTTTCCACAAGGCCCGTGGCCGAGAGCGGGAGCTAGGTGCTCGGGGGGCGGTGGTCTGCCACCTCAGAACAGCAAACATTGCTGGCCGGGCAGAGCTTCCAAGGCTCCAGCCACAAAACCCGTGGGGGCCCTGTGTGGGGCAGGCAGGCAGCCCGGTGAGTGGCCAGCTTGGTGGTCACGTAAGCCATGGCCTCGCCCAGGGCTGTGCAGGGGTCCCTGGGCTGTGGCGGGAGTCGGCCCACGTTTTCTTTCCAGGAAAACATCAGTAGTGGGGGGCGTCACGGCGGGGCACGGGTCCCAAGAGGTGTGCGCGGCTCAGGCGCCCTGGTTCTCCGAGGCTGGCGTGCCAGGGAGCCGGAGGGCTCCGGCCGGCCATCACAGGGCGCCTGAGCCGTTCCAGCGTGCTCCGGGGGTCTGCCAGGAGGGGCTTCAAGCAGCAGGCCCCCAGCCCCGTGCCCTGTGGGGGGTGGCAGCCCAGCCCCGGGCGCTGCCCGGGGCCCCAGGTGGGCCGCCGCAGCCTGGCAGGGCGAGCAGAGGGGAGGCGTAGGGGTCGGTGGTGTGCAGGGGGCTCCTGTCCTCAGTCTTTTCCGGGCACACAGGGCAGGTCTGCCTCGGAAGGATGTGCCCGGGACCAACTTCCGTCCACGGTGGTTTTATGTCATAATAAAGGGGCAGCTCTCACTGCAGAAAACACAGAGGAGAGAGTGCCCTGCCCGGCCCCTGGCACACGGCCCTGCTGGGGCATGGGGTGGGGGCGCACCCCTGGCTGCCACCCCTCATGCCGTGCCCCCTCCCAGGGCTGCCGCAGCGTGGAGGAGTTCCAGTGCCTGAACAGGATTGAGGAGGGCACCTACGGGGTGGTATACAGAGCAAAGGACAAGAAGACAGGTGGGTCGGGCCTCCGGTGCCCCCAGGGCGGGGCAGGGAGGCCTGAGGGGAGCTCTTGCTCCCTTCTCTGTGCACGTGGCTGGGGGGAGGCTGGGGGGCGGGGCCGGGGCCTATCCGAGCCCCGGCCTGATGGAGAGCGCGGGCCCTGCGGTCGCGGGCGTTGCCCTCCCTGGCGCTGGGGCGGCCTCGCCTGCCCAGCAGCCTCAGGCAGGCTCGGGGGTGGCGCCTTGGGGCAGTGCCCTTGGTGACTCCAGAGGTCAGGGGTCAGCCCGACCGCGAGGCTCTGCTGTTTGGCCGTGAGGGTGGGGTTAGCCAGGGGAGGACCCAGGAGCGTCAGGGGCATAAGCCCCTAGCAAGGGCCCCCGACCGGGGCGGGGCGTCGAGGCGTGTGAGTGGGCCGCGGTCCCTGCCGGGGGACGGGCGCGGCAGGAGGCTCCCCTCAGCAGTTGTGCACAAAGGCTGGCCTGGGCGCCTCGTGCTCCTGGTGGCCCTGGCTCGGGCACCTCGGGGCTCAGGCCTGTGAGCTCCCAGCCCCGCGGCCGTTGCCGCAGAACGTGAAGCGCTTCCTGCGCCCGGTTGGCCACGCTCGGGAGGTCGCCGCCTCATCCTCGTGTCTGCACTGTGTTCAGATGAGATTGTGGCTCTGAAGCGGCTGAAAATGGAGAAGGAGAAGGAGGGCTTCCCCATCACGTCGCTGAGGGAGATCAACACCATCCTCAAGGCGCAGCACCCCAACATTGTGACCGTCAGGGTAGGTCGCCGCCGCGCCCCAGAGCGGGTCCTGTGAGGTGGACTGTGCAGAAATGAAGTCCAGCCTCCAGGGGTGCCAGGCACATCGGCGTTGTCCTCAGTCGGTCCCTGCTGTCCCTCGGTGTCCGACTTCTGGGCGAGCTGGCGGCCCCGGGTGGGGCCCGGGCCCCGGCGCCCACCAGCCTACCGTCCCCAGGAGATTGTCGTGGGCAGTAACATGGACAAGATCTACATCGTGATGAACTACGTGGAGCATGACCTCAAGAGCCTGATGGAGACCATGAAGCAGCCTTTCCTGCCAGGTGGGCCGGGCTCCTGCTTGGCCCCCTCCCGTCGTCTTCTGGGCTGTGTCCCCCCGCGGGCCGCCCTGCCCTCGGGCAGCCAAAGGCCTCGTCCCCGGGGGCGGCGGGGGCGCGTGCCTGCGGGGATGGGGCGTTCCCAGGGTGAGTGCGCCGCCCTTGCTCCGCAGGGGAGGTGAAGACCTTGATGATCCAGCTGCTGTGCGGCGTGAAGCACCTGCACGACAACTGGATCCTGCACCGCGACCTCAAGACATCCAACCTGCTGCTGAGCCACGCCGGCATCCTCAAGGTGAGCCTGCGGCGAGCCCCTGGCCCCCCGGGGGCGCCGGCTCCCAGCCTCCGGCCGCTCACTGCCACCCTGTGCCCACAGGTCGGGGACTTCGGGCTGGCGCGGGAGTACGGGTCCCCTCTGAAGGCCTACACCCCGGTCGTGGTGACCCTGTGGTACCGCGCCCCAGAGCTGCTCCTGGGCGCCAAGGTGAGTCCTGGGCCACGTGGGGTGCCCCACGGGCCCTGCCCACCCAAGCCTGTCCCTGAGCCTGAGCCTGTCCCTGGTCCCCAGGAGTACTCCACAGCAGTGGACATGTGGTCAGTGGGTTGCATCTTTGGGGAGCTGCTGACGCAGAAGCCCCTGTTCCCTGGGAAGTCGGAGATCGATCAGATCAACAAAGTGTTCAAGGTGGGTTGGGGGCCTCGCGGGTGGAGGTGTCTCTGCTGGGCAAGGTTGTTCTGAGGCACCCTTCTCTCAGGACCTGGGGACCCCCAGTGAGAAAATCTGGCCTGGCTACAACGAGCTCCCCGCAGTGAAGAAGATGACCTTCACCGAGTACCCCTACAACAACTTACGCAAGCGCTTCGGGGCCCTGCTGTCCGACCAGGGCTTCGACCTCATGAACAAGTGAGCCTGTGGGCTGCCCCGCCCCGCCCCGAACCCCTCCCCGAGCCCCCCGCCCCCGCCAAGGGCTCCACCTGCCTTGTTTTCCAGGTTCCTGACCTACTTCCCTGGGCGGAGGGTCAGCGCAGAGGACGGCCTCAAGCATGAGTATTTCCGCGAGACTCCCCTCCCCATCGACCCCTCCATGTTCCCCACGTGGCCCGCCAAGAGCGAGCAGCAGAGGGTGAAGCGCGGCACGAGCCCACGGCCCCCTGAGGGAGGCCTGGGCTACAGCCAGCTGGTGAGGGGCCGGCGGGCGCGGGAGGGGAGGTCGGGGGAACCCCGGGGTGGGGCCGGCCCAGCCGGGCCCACGGTACCACTTGCCTCCCAGGGAGACGATGACCTGAAGGAGACGGGCTTCCACCTCACCACCACCAACCAGGGGGCCTCGGCGGCGGGCCCCGGCTTCAGCCTCAAGTTCTGAGGGTCGCCACGTGCCAGCCCTGGGAGCCTGACGGTCCGGGCTCCGCGGGGACTGGTGCCAGGGCCCAGACCCAGCTGGATGCAGCTGCTGCCCCCGGGCTGCTGAGCATTGTGACCTCGAGTCTCGGGCTGCTGGTCTTGTTTGTTTTCCACGTTTCGTTTCTATTTCATCTTGACTTGTATATTTGTAGAATTAAATGTTATTTCTTTGTGGAAGAAAAGGCTGTTTTCAGAGTTGTCCCCCGAGGAGGGGCATCAGCAGGTCCAGCCCCCGCTGCTGTGCCCACGGGCCTGCGGGTCAGCCTCTGGCCGTGATTTGCAACAGTCATGGGGACTTTTCTGCCTGGGCACCGGCCTGTCCCCCCGGGATGTCGGTAGCCCAGGCCCGCAGAGCGGGGCCTGTGAGCTCAGCCATGGCCTCCCTTCGAGGCTGTGACACCAGTGGAGGTGGAATCAGGAGCTCCGGTGTGTCCCTCCCACGGCCGCCCTGAGCGCGGCCCCAGTGGGCGCTGCCTGCGGGGCTCCTCAGCCTGGTGCACGGACCTGCTGAGGCCTCTGCGCCCGCCTGTCCCCAGCGCCTGGCCTCGGCTCCTCCTCCCGCTGAACAGGGCAGCTCAGGCGCAGGCAGGCTGGCCCCTTGTGTGGGCGCCGCTGCCCGACCCCATCCCGGGACTCCGGGTCTCCGGGAACTGCCCTCGCTGGAGGGGCTACGTGGGGGAGCCGGCCGTGTGTCCTGGATTCAGGCTCCTGCATCATCGAGTGGGGATGGGGCAGGGTGGCTCCGCCTCGCGCGGTCCGGGACGGGTTGCCCATCCCCCCAAGAAAGGACACGGAAACGTGAGAGAGAAAGCGCTTTATGGGCGCCCAGCCGGGCTCAGCTGCGCACGCGGACCCGCCAGGAGTAGGTGCTGAGCACGCGCTGCCGCCGACGCACCACGCACGTGTAGGTGCCCTCGTTGATGGCGTTGGCGATGATGCTCAGGCGCGCCTCGCCCAGCGCCAGGTAGCCCGGGTAGGAGAACTCCAGCGGCTCCTGGTCCTTGTACCAGCTGCGGAGGCGGAGGCGGAGTCTCGAGCACGGCCTGCGGCGCCGGCGCCCCCGCCCCCTTCCTCACAGTCGCGCGCGGGTCACTCACTGAACTTTGCCTTTTTTATGGAGGATCTTCTGTCCGCAGCGGAAGGTCACGTTCCTTCCCTCGGGCACCAGCCGGGTTTTGGTCCTGGGGGGCGGCGCGGTGGCGGCCACCGTGGGGAAGGGGAACTCTGCTCAGGGGAAGGGCCACGTCAGTGCCCCGCACCCACGCGCCCGCGGGCCGGGCCGGGCCGAGTCGGGGCCCCGCGCACCGTAGCAGAAGTCGCAGCTGCTGGGGCACAGCCTCTTCATGAGTCTGCGGCGGGCGTCGCAGAAGCCCTTCCGCGCCCAGGACGCGCATACGAACAGCCGGTCCAGGCAGCCTGCGGGAGGGTGGCCAGCCTCAGCGCCCCGCGCATCCGCCTGGCCATGCGCGCCTCCGCCGCCGGCACTCACCGTAGAGCCGGTGCAGCCCCCACAGCTCGTCCTGCGACAGCGCCTTCCAGCCGCGCAGGGTGGCGTTGAGGTGCATGAGTGCCTGGCCGTGCTGTGAGTGCATCAAGCCCAGCGCGTGGCCGATCTCGTGGGCCGCCACGTGCACCAGGTCGGTGAGCCACACTCCTGCAGGCCCGCCGGTCAGTGCCCGGCCGCCTGCCGTCCGTCCCCCGCGCCCGGATCCCGCGGCGGCGGGCAGAGGAGAGCGTGGCGGGCAGGCGGGGCGGTGAGCTTGGGCCCCAGGAACGGGGCCGCGCTCCTCTCGTGCGCGGAGGTTGGGGCGTCGGGCCTCCTCGCCCCTCCCCCCCCTCCTGCCCCGGCCCGTCGCAGCCCCCGCTCCGCCCTCCCCCGGGCCCCCACCGCCGGGGGCCGCGCGGCCGCCGGCTGCCATCACCTTTCTTCCAGCTGTAGCGCGTGGGGCCCAGCACCCAGTACTCGCTGTCGTCAAAGTGGATGCCGCCGTGTGGGGGGAAAAACGCGTGGGCCAGCTCGCCCGTGGGACCGTCGAAGCAGTGGTGCAGCGCAGACACCAGGCAGTCCGTGTGGTTGGCCGGGTAGAAGCCTGGGGGAGCGCCGGGCTGAGAGGGGGCCTCGGGGCGGGCAGGGGGCGGGGGTGGGGGCACGGCGCCCACCTATTCGGAGGTCGCTGGGCTGCTCAGGGGCCACCTCGCGGAAGCTGAAGGGGGACACGTCACTCCACATACGGAAGGCGGCGGCCAGCCCCCGCCGGGTCTCCCTGGGGCTCAGCAGGTTCCGCGGGAAGGACAGGATCCTGGGGTGGGGGCTCAGGGTCAGGGCAGGCGGCCAGGCTGCCCCAGGCCCCCCCCCCCAGGGCCAGGGTGGCACCTGTAAGTGAGGTTGAAGTGGTCCCAGCGCAGCCGGGCCGGGGTCAGCGTGTAGCGGCGTCTGCGGGGCGCCTGGGGCAGCAGCAGGCCGGGCCCCGGGGTGGCAGGGACTCCCGCGGGGTGGGGCGCGGCGTCTCCCTTCAAGGAAAACGAGTGCCCTGGGGAGGCGGCCGGGGCTGCCCAGTCCCAGGCACCAGGAGGCCCGCCTGGAAGCTAATGGAGCCGGGAGCGCTGACTTTCTACTTTTGGTCTTTCTGCGTTTCTTGGTTTTCTACCTCAAGCCGGCGAGTGTCACTTTTACAGCCAGAAAGCAAAAGGTTACTAAAGATAAGCCAGGTTGGCGTGGGCGGAGCTGAGGGCCAGAGGCTGCCCCCCGTCTTGACCCCGCCAGACTCCGGGGCCTCGCGGACACTCGGGCTCCGGGGCCGGTCCATGGAGCTGGTCGGACTCACCTGCGCTGTGCTCCCGGCGGGCCAGGCGGCCGGGCCCCGCAGCCGGGCCAGCAGCACCAGGGCTGCTGGCAGCAGGCACAGGGCGCCCAGCAGGACCCCGAGCCGGCCGGCCGGCACACAGGCACCCCGCGACACCCAGGGGGCACAGGCCCCGCGGGCCATGGCTCCTACGGGCGCAGACTCGCTGCTGGGGCTCGGGGCGCGTGGGCTGCGGGCCCTGCGGGAGCGCGAAGAGCCGGGGGAGGTGCTGAGGCAGCTCGGGTTACAGCCCCAGGGCGGGGGGCGGGGGCGGGGGCGGCCACCCCGGAAGCGAACCAGCTGGCCATCCCACTGTTGGCGAGGGGGACCCCGGGGCTGTGGGTCGGTGCAGTGGCCCGGGCAGGGCCTGCCGGGTGGGGCCGCGGGGGTGGGGGCGCCGAGGATGTACGGGGCGCCGAGGATGTACCGGTCGCCAGGAAGGGACAGACGCCAGGGGTTGGTTCATCAGGCAAAGATGGCCAGTTGGGGTCCCGAACTGGCTGGAGCTGAGGGACCTGTGGTTTTTACCTCAGTGGACTCCCCCCCAAACCCCTGGACACTGAATGAGACTCGGGAGCGGAACCTCCATCCAGGCCAGCCCGGGACACGTCCCCAGCGCAGCCCCGTAGGGTCCCCACGAGAGGGGCGGGGATGCAGAGGGAGGGGACGTGGCAAGTGAGCCCGGGCGGCTGAGCCGGGAGAGAGGCTGGGTAGGCAGCTCGGGGATCGCGCCGGCAGGGAGGGGGACCCGCCGGGGTCCCACCAGGAGCTGCGAGGGGCCAGAGGAGGAACCCGTGGTGGACGCAGGGGAAGGTGCACGGGGCAGGGTCTGCAGGGAGCCAGGCTTCAGCGACTGGGCTCTCCCCCAGCGGAGCCGGGCACTGGGCCCAAGTGTGGAAGGGTCCTGGGCGGGAGGTGGGGGACAGTGTTGGGGCCAGGAGATCCGAGGGCGGCTTTCAGGCTGTGGCAGGACAGGGGCCCCCAGGGGGGATGTTGGCGAGGGCGCCCCTGAGCCAGGGGAACTGCGGTCCCGGAACCGGAGGAGTGGGTATGGGGCGGGCCAGGCACGGCCGAGGTCCCTGGCCCTCCCCGTTCTCCATCCAGGCCTTGGGCCCAGATGACAGTGGTGCGCCGGGCCAGCGGGGTCAGCGCCAAGTGTCTGGCCAGCAGCCGCAAGGCTCCGGGGGAGCATTTCGGGTGGTTCTTGGAAAGCGTCGCTGCTGAGCCCAGCCGGGGCAGCACCCCAGTCTTTGTGGCTAAATGCCTGCCCAACAAAGCTGTTCTCCCCGTCGTGTGTGCAGCCCTCCCCCCAGGCCCTAAGACCCTGCCGGGATCCCTGGCCTGAAAGGGACACCGCACCCCACCCCCACCCTACTTCACCGTGACCCCAGAACCCACAGAGAGAAACGGGTGCTGCTTGGTTCCAAGCCCGTCTCCACTGCCCGCCCCCAAGAAAAAGCAGACGGGTGGCCGGGGTCGCTGGGGGCGGCCTGCGCCCGGAGACTGTTTGTGGCCGGAGTCTCTGTCTCGTCCCAGGAGTCCTGGGAAAGGCTGGATGCGCTGGTCGGGAGGAGGCGGGGCGAGGCCGACAGCTGGGCCCGTGCAGCCCTGGAGGGGCCAGCGCAGTCTGGGGCCTAAGACCCGCCCCCAGCCCCAAGCAGGCACCAGGCAGCGAGTCGGGGGAACCCTTTTATAAAACACACGGGGGAGGGGGCTCTTGAGGGCGGGGGACGCGGCGGCGCAGAGCGAGGGGCGGGGCTAGACGAAGATCTGGATGCGGTCGCGGATGGGCTGGCGGCAGATGGGGCAGGCGCTGAGCGCGGCGCCGCAGGGCGCGCAGGCGCCGTGGCCGCACTGGAACACGAGGCGGATGTGGCTGTCGATGCAGATGGGGCAGGTGATGCGCTCCTCCATCTGCCGGTAGCGGCTCTGCAGCTCCTCGACCAGCTGTCTCGGGGGGCCTGGCACCGGGGCCGCGGGGGCCACCTCCGAGCCGTCTGCGGGCGGGGCAGGCAGGGCGGGTCAGGCGCGGCCCTGGACTTGAGGGGCGGGGCGAAGCCCACCTTCCGCCCCAACCCCAACCCACCGGGTCGCAGCTTCTTGGCGATGTGCACCTGGCACCTGATGCACTTCTTCATCCTGCGCGCGCATTCTGCGGGGGGCGGGGGGAGCACGCGGTTGGGCGAGACGGCGCCGGCCCTGGACCGCCCCGCGCCCTGGCGCCCTGGCGCCGCCGGCCGCCTGCCGCCCGCACTCACCCTCGCACACCATGCGGTGCTGGCACGGGGAGAACTGCACCAGCAGTGCCAGTTCCGAGCACACCAGACACTCGGCGGCCT